ATTTTGTTTTTCAATGTTTCGATCTTCCAGTGTTACACTTTTTCGACTTTACAATTTTGACGATTTTATAATTTTTCGATTTTACAATTTTTGGGTTTTCCAATTTTTCGATTCGGTTCGTTTTTTCTTCTTCCCAATTTTTCGTTTCGATTTTTTTGTTTTCTTTACTTTTTCAATTTTTCGTTTTTTCAGTGTTCTGATTTTATACTTTTTCTTTTTTCAATTTTTCGATTTTTTAATTTTTCGTTTCTTCAATTTTTGATTTACAATTTTTCTAGATTTTATTTTAAATATGTAATAATGACGGTATTTTTTCAATTTTCTATTTTTTTTGTGTGCAACTGAGTTTTCATTTTAAAATTTTCAGTTTTTCAATTTTCCAACTTTTGGATGTTTTAGTTTTTAATTTTCTTCACTTTTTTATTTTTCAGTTTTCTTATGTTCTCATTCTATAACTTTTCTTTTTTCAATGTAATATTTTTCAATTTTTCAATTTTTAGATTTTTTTAATTTTTCGTTTCTTAAATTTTTGATTTGCAATTTTTCTAAATGTTTCACTTTTTTTAATTTTACGATTTTAGAATTTTTACAGTTTTTCAATTATTAGATTTTAAACCGTTTTCATTATTTCGATTTTTCATTTTTCAATTTTTGAATTTCTCGATAGTTGGTTTTTCAATTTTTCGATCTCCCACTGTTACTTTTTCGACTTTACAATTTTGACGATTTTACCATTTTTCGATTTTACAATTTCTGGGGTTTCGAATTTTTTGATTCGATTCGTTTTTTCTTCTTTCCAATGTTTTGATATATTAATTTTTTTAGATTTTTGAATTTCTCGATACATATTTGGCTTTTCAATTTTTCGATCTTCGAGTGTTACACTTTTTACAATTTTTGGGTTTTCCAATTCTTCGATTCGATTCGTTTTTTCTTCTTCCCCATGTTTCGGTTCATTAATTTTTTTAGATTTTTGGTTTTTCAATGTTTCAAGTTTTCGTTTCTTCAGTTCTTCAATTCGTAATTTTTCGAATTTCCACTTTATCGCTTTAACAATTTTTCATTTTGTTTTCCGATTTTTCAATTTTTTCCTTTTTTTCTGTTTTTCGAATTTTAATTTTTAGGTTTTTCAATTTTTCGATTTTTAATTATTCGAATCAAAAAATAGAAAAATTGCGAAATTGTCAAATTGAAAAATCAAAAATGAAAACTGAAAACCTAAAAACTGGGAATCAAGAACTTGAAAAATTGAGAAACTTAAAATTCGAAAAAGATCATAATCGATAAAACGAAATATGTATTGTAAAATCGAAATATTGAAAATTAACGAAATTGGAAAATCGGATAAATGTAAATCCAAAAATTATAAAATTGAAAAATTTTAAAATTGGAAAATCGAGGAATTGAAAAATCAAAGATTAAAAATTGAAAAACTGAATAAAAAAAAAAGAAAGAAAAACTGAAAAAAAAAGGAATTTATTAATTCAAATATTGATAAGCGGTAAAAGCTAGGTTTAATCTAATTTACAAAAAAAAAAATCACTCCCGGACTCCCACTTATTTTTAACGTCAACCACAATTACGATTTTATATATCATAAAAAAATATACATTTTCTAGTTATATTAACCCTTTTTTTGCCACATGCTTGTGACGTAAGCACAGCATAAGGACTTACACGTCATAAAATGTCAAAAATGCCACTTTTTTGTCAGGAATCAATGTGATTTAATTAAAAATTTTAATACACTGCAGTCGCGCTTCGACAGCTACGCTGACATCTTCTCAGAATTAGTTATATTAAAATCACAATAACAAATTTTATTTTTGTGGTAACCTCTACAGTCTAAAAACATATAGATAACAAGTCACAGTTTAAGAAAAAAAAAAAGATTCATGTGCCGCATAAAAACTCAAGGCAGAATCATAAACCACAAGTATAGCGGTATGCTATTTTATAAAATTTGAATGACGTTTACAAAAAAAAATTGAAGGAACGTCATCAAATTGTTAGTGGGGATGATTAGCCACATTTTGGTTGGCGTTTTACCATCTACATGATAATCCTAATATGCGTACAAAATTAGACAACAATCGGTCAGTAGTTTCGGAGATTATCTGTGTAATAAAAATCAACACACAGGCAAACGACAGACAAAATGGAAACGGGAGACATATTTTTTCGTACTCTTGGGGTCATGAAACGTCGAGAAAACATGAATCCTATCACATTACCTCCTTCCTTTACGCTTGGAAAGTTAAAGGGCATTTTTTAACAATGAAAAAACCTATACCTATAAGAAAAAAAAATTGGTCGAAAGTGGTTTCCACAGAACTTCCCTCGCACCGAAAGTACAATGAAACATATCAAGCGAGAGGGTGGGTGGGCGGAGCTAGTATTTGTTAAGATTGATTTTGCTAAATGACTGAACAATATTAAGAGTAATCACTGGAATGAAAAAGGGGTGGGTGGGCGGGGCTATTCTATTGCTTGGTTATAAACAATTCTGTATGAAAAAGTAAAACTTAGCCCCGCCCACCCACCCGTTCTCTCTTTTTTTTTCAGAAATAAGAAATAAATATTATAGCAAATAAGCATTACAATAAAAAAATTATGATTAACGCTTTTTTTAACAGCCTACGTTCTATTAGTTCCCAATCACAGTTTACAAAAGAACATATAATTCACCCCGCCCACCCTCCCCTGTCTCCATTTCAGTGATTCATTTGATCTAGTTCGAATGAAAGGTGAATCTCAATTGAAGAGAGATAAAATCGTTAGAATGATAACACCGTGTGTGGGCGGGGCTAGTACTTGTTAAGATAAGACTGATTTTGGTAGATGACATATCTTCTAGGAAAAAACAGGGTGGGTGGGCGGGGCTAAAACTTTCTAAGATAGGACTGAACAATATTAAGACGTAGTCACTGAAACGAAGAAGGGGTGGGTGGGCGGGGCTACTGTTTGCTCATAAAACTTGAAAAAAGTTAAATTTAGCCCCGCCCACCTCTTTTCTCCATTTCACTGACTTATTTTATTTAGTATAAAATGGAAATTGAAAAATAACAGCATCATTTTTTGCACATTTTGGGTAAAATTTATTCGGCAAAATTTTGAGATGACGTCATCAATCTTTGGCGGGAATAAACAGATAGATTTTGATTAACAATTTACCGTGCTTACAATAACTTTAAAACATCTGCAAGATTTCAAAGCATTCGGTTTTCAGATTCAAAACTAAATTGTAAAATATTGTTTTATAATTTTGAGTTTTTTCCCAAAAATCTAGACGTACATAATATTCCTAATATACATACAAAATTTGACAACAATCGATCAGTAGTTTCGGAGATTATCTGTCTCATAAAAATCGACACAGAAACAGACAATAGACAAAATAGAAACGAGAGACCTATTTTTTCGTACTCTTGGGGTCATGAAACGTCGAGAAAACATATACATATTAATACTTCCTTGCCTTACGCTCGGGAAGTAAAAGGGCTGATTTTTTAATAATTAAAGAACCTAACCCTAAATGGAATAAACAGCCCCAAGTTGCTAATATCACAAGTACACACACCAAATCTACAACAACACAAGATACATGTTTTCTGATCAATAGGAACGAAGGTTTGTTGTTCACGCGCTTTTAGCTTTTATCGACATATTAAATAAAATTTTTACCAAGTAATCATTTCGTTCAGGAAATTGAAATTGCCTTATTTTGTCAAGTCATTAAATAATTTTCCTTACTCCTTTAAATTTATTTTTTATAAAGTTTTCTATAGAAACAAAATTTTTATAATTATTTTGTATTTTCACGTACATATAAATACAACATTAAATTATCTGTTTCTATTCAAATACATAGTATGGAAACAAAGCTCTCGGAAAAAATAAAAAATACCAAGGTTATTTAGACAGAACTTCCCTAGTCCCTGCATTACAGTCGAACAAATCGAGCTTCGAAAAATTATAAAATTTAATTTTGCAATTTTTTTTTTAAATAACCCCTATAAGTGCGAACTGTTAAACTACAGGTAAAAAAGCAGTTATGCGTCCGTTCAAGTAAGTTTTCCAAAACAAAATTTTATTATGACCTCATCAACATTTTATTTAATTTTTGGATGATTTGATCAACAAAAACTTGTTTCGTTGATTATTTATTTGTCTGTCTAATAAAAATCGACACCAACGACAGACAGACAAGCAGACAGACAGACAGACGAAAAACTCTATTCAGAATACCCTAGTGTCATACGCGCTCTTTATTATTGCTGTCTTCTCTCAGTTTATTTTGATTTACATGTTGATCCTTGTCACTACAGAAGATTTGACTTCAACGACATAATTTTGTTTTGTTTGTTGACAGCCCGCAAGTCATGAATACAAAAATGCGGGAATCCCCTCTTGACATTATTTATTAGAAATAATAATTCCTTCAACAAGTTATTGCCGTCATCACAAAAAAAAATATTCCCACTTACTTTAAATATTGTATTACTATGTACATATCGTGATTAATATACAAAAATCGACAATAAATTTTGTTGAAAAATACACTAACACATCTGATGCATTAGTTGTGTTTTAAAAACCTTCACTTATTTTTTTCCTTTTGTTTGGAGAAATTTAAAAACAAAAAATTATACACATATTTAAAAACATGTCACTTGGGTGTGTAACTCTTCAATGGGAATGAATACCTATACAATTGGAAATAATTTTTGGGAGCAAATTTAAATGGATTCCACCAGACTGTGTCCACATTTTTTCAATAGTCCACAGGAAATGAGTAATCTTCCACTGTAACACCATTGGGACACCTTGTATATTGTCTGTTATAGAAACTTGTCTTATACAAATTAAAACTAATACTTTTCTATGACCATTTATGTAAACATAAAAATTATGTATCACATTATTTATCTCAAATTAAAATGCAAAACTCTAGGACAAAGTTCACTTGGTAATAATAGGAAGAATGTGAAGAAACATACCGCTCAGTGAAGCACTACTCTCCTGTCTGTATGTAGGCGTTGAAGCAGCAGTGCCTTGCGGAGGCCAAAAGGTCTTCCTGGGTACAGACACCCAGGACATCCTCTCACCCTCTCGGGCCCTCTCCAACTCCAAAATGAACTTCCCATCTAGAAAAGAACCATGTAGTACCACCCACAACAATCGGACTTTGCAGGTACCTTTAAAGAACTTGAGCCGTCCCCCTTGCACGTAATTGTTCTTGAGCGGCTCCTCCTTGATAGCCCCATCAGCATTTCCATTCATGCCATGTCTTTTGTGCTTTTCTTCTGTCATTTTTGAACATTTTGTCAAGATGGTGTTCGAAGACTGGCGTGTTTCTGATATATGCATCTCATAGCGTTTCTGCGGAATTCCTCGGCCACACGCGCAAATACACCATATCCGAATACCGAAATTCTTCGGACGTGTTGTCTCATTCCATTCCACCTGCAGCTGACACAACCGAGGATCGTTGCGGTAATTTCACCTCCACTACGCCCGCTGCTGCCACTGAACGCTCGAGATCACATCTTACAAAACACGTCTTCTCCATATTTCGAACATTATTTGCGCCAATCGGACCGTGTTTACCTCCAACGAACGACAACAACATGGACAAACGTACACAGCCTCACTCCATGGGTCCCGTGCTCAAAATTTTGATGATGATGTAGTCGACGGCTCGGTCGGTTTCGTAAAAAGTTCATTCACATGCAGAGTCGACTTTACAGCTGCTGTTTCTTGCCCCTTTTCACCGTGGATCTTGCGTCCGACCGCAGGAGGGAGACGCGATTTTCGTTCTTCGCGAACGAATCTTTGCGTAATTGCCGGGAATTGTTGCTACTTTAATTAACAACAATTTATTTTAAATTGTTATTCGAACTACGCGCGCTGAGAATTTAACGATCGATAACGAAGAGACAGGTTTTGACAGACGATGCACGATGTCGGCAGGACGCGATCGCAAAGGCAACTACGCCAAGGACGGATCGTAAAATCACAAGATGGGTTTTAAACTTTACGGTTTTATTTCAGTTAAATAACAGCTAAATATTTTTATTAGATTTGGCGAGATTTTTGCGCTCTTTCTTCGCTTTTGTTTCAAGTTTTATTACTCATTAACCAAATTTTCAAATTTTATAACCTCTGTAATTACAAAAATTGTGACAATATAGTTAAATGCTCCATAAAAAGATTGAAATCTTGGATCTCTTGCTGTTACTTAGTTTAGTGGTAATTTTAATTCGTGACCAACCTTCTTTGAAGTTACTTCTCTGTTCACTGTCTTTGTTTCTTTTAAACTCACCCATGATGCTTTTAGGAACATAATATACCCTTATTTTTTTCTTATCAACCCACCATATTCTCCCCTCCCGGAATATTCTATGACTGACGTCTATTTTATATATTCTATGATTGTAGGTTATATTCCTACCAACGTAATATTGTCGCTATGTCACTGTACTTTCGTAATGTCATTGATTACTACACCTGACACGTGACATTTTTATAACCTTTAAAACCTGACATTTATCGTTAGGGGAATTTCATTATGACAACCAACGAATGTAAAAATATATCATCCAAAAAACTGACAGATTTATATTTCAGACACAAAATTTTAATCAGACCAAGTTTTGTCTGGCGAGATTTTTGCGTTCTTTCAAAGATACCTTCTTCGCTTTTCTTTCAATGTGCTTTTGGATCTTATTGGTTTGTTTGAGTTGTTCATATTTATTTACCAAATTCTCAAGTTTCACCACCGCTGTAAACATAAAACTGTAACAACAATAGAAACACAAAAAGTACTCACATTTTTTCTTATATGGTGCTTTTTTCTCTGTAGTAACTTCATTCTTACTGTATGTTTGTTCTTCCTGAGATGTCTTCATTTCTTCATTACGAATTTGATTTTCCTGGAAATTTAATTATTATTATTTGTTGTTATAAAGGAATTATTTCTCTTACTAGGCGTTGAACAGCAAACTTTATCCTCTTTTTTTCTTCCTCATTAGTTGTATTTTTTAATTCGTCCTTAAGTTGGTCTCGCTCTTTTTTTCTAAGATCATTCACAAACTTGTAATTATCTTGGAAAGTTTTCTTGTCGAATGTCCCACAAAAAGACTCAAACCTTGGATCCCTTGTGGTTGGTTTACTAGAAACTTTAACGCTAGTCTTTACATGTGCAATCCTTTTTGAACTCATTTCTCTCGGTCTGTTTTTATTTACTCTTTTAAACGTTTTAACTTTCGTTTTTGTTTTACCAAACATGGTTTGACTGTACAGTTTCGTCCCCATTTCTTCCTTCAGTTTTTGCAGCTCTTCAAAACTCATTTCACTCAACTGCTCCTTGACTTTTTGCTAAAAAAATAACAGTGTTAATGGTCATATTGTAATAAAATTTAGAAATTTACCCGATCAGATTCAAGTGTTTCTTCATCTGATTGACTATCGGAATTACTACCATTGGTTTCTTCAGACTCATCTATTACTGGATCCATAATGATTCGGTTAAGATTTTACCACGAAATGTGTAAAAGTTTGTTTACTGATGAGATGTCAACATAACATAACCTTGTTTTATTTCTCGTGGTGTGTTTATCGTTGCGGTGGTGATCATCAACGTTGGCTATTCTATGGTCTGTAATGATCAATTATAAAAAATATATTGTGTGTTCTACTTGATGGCGAAAACAATACAAAAGTACGACCACAAAATTAATTCTGTGTGACGTTTCTATAACCTGTAAAATTTGATGACATTTGTTGCTACTAGAAAATATAAATGTCAAACAGTCTAATTTTTTTAGGTCAATAGTAAAAAAATTAACTGATCCATTGATGTCAAATTCATTAGACATCCGACTTACTGTCACTATTCGAACACGTGGCAGACGAAAAGGGATAATAGCAAACATTTTTCAGATCTGAATCACAAATGTAACAATAAAATACTTGTAATTAAAATTTTTATAAAACATAACCTCCATAATATCGTCTACTTTTTAGCAAACACGAGCCACCGGACAAAGAGAGCAACAAAATGGACAAACAGCTAACCCATGTCGAAAGCCAGCACGTCCTCCACAGTTCCATTTTCAACCAAACCCTGCGTGACTGGCAGACCCTCAAAACCGAAATAACCCCCCGGAATTTAATGTACCCCGTCTTCATAATCGAAAACGACGACTCCGTCGAGCCCATCGCGAGCATGCCCGGAGTCTCCCGCTACGGCATCAACAAACTAAAACACCACTTACAACCCCTGATCGAAAAAGGCCTGAGTTCAATCTTAGTTTTCGGCGTAATCGACAAACTCCCCAAAGACCCCTTAGGCACCAACGCCGACAGCCAAGAAAACCCCGTAATCCGCGCACTCCCCAGCCTGCGCACCGCATTCCCTACTCTCACCATCGCCTGCGACGTCTGTCTTTGCCCCTACACCTCCCACGGTCACTGCGGCGTCCTGTTCCCCGACGGCACCATCAACAACCCAGCGAGCATCCAACGCATCAAGGAAATCGCAGTGTCGTACGCCAAAGCGGGTGCTCACATTGTGGCGCCGTCGGACATGATGGACGGCCGCATTGGTAGCATCAAACAAGGGCTAGCTGAACACGATTTGCGCCACAAAGTTGCTGTTCTGTCATACACCGCCAAGTTCGCGTCAGGGTTCTACGGACCTTTCAGAGACGCCGCTAAGTCGCAGCCGGCGTTCGGCGACCGCAAGTGTTATCAGCTGCCCCCAGGTAGCACAGGACTGGCGTTGCGGGCGGCGAAACGAGACGTGGCTGAAGGGGCCGATATGCTTATGGTGAAGCCGGGTTTGAGCTACTTGGATATAATGAAACAAGTGAAAGAAAAGTATCCAGAGTATCCCATGTTTGTATATCAGGTTTCAGGGGAGTATGCTATGATATATCACGCCGCTAAAGCAGGGGCGTTGGATTTTCGAAGCGCGCTGAGTGAAGTTATGGTCTCGCTAAGACGGGCTGGAGCTGATGTGATTATTTCGTACTTCACGCCAGAGATTTTGAATTGGATTCAGCTGAAAAGTAAAATTTAAAAGGGGTGTTTTTGAATAGATTTAGTGGCTACCAATGACACTATTAATAGTTACAGGGTAACTTAGGCTAGGTTTTGTTTGACTAGAAGATGTTTAAAATATACGTATGTTATGAAAAATAAATAATTCAAAGTTCGTTTTTAATTTTTACCTCCCGAGCGGGTTCGTGGTCGGTATTACAGTACACACACATATCGATTATTGTGACAATTGACACAAAAATCCCCATTTTAGTTACTAATTTAGGGACTTTGAGTCGCAGACGCCATTTCCCATCCAGCGTTTCCAGAATCCGACGAGTTCGTTTTTAAATCGGAAAAAACGTTTGTTTATTTCTCTTTGGGTGTTATTAATATTGACGTTGTGAAGTGCAATTGATCAGTTTTTGAGTGCAGTATTGAAGAAGACATGTCCGGACTGTTTTTGCACAGACGTTTTTAAGCGGGTACGTCGTGCTCCAGTGAATTTTTGCATTAAGCGTTGAATTTATAACGAGTGGAGGCTTTCGTTGCTCCTAGACGAGCTAATTAGCGAATTTATCATCAATTTGAAACCATGTCGTCCCCTAAACCATCAGGCCGAAATGCGGCTTTCGAAGACCTTTCCAACGTAGAATTCGAAACTAGCGAAGATGTGGAAGTTATAGACCAGTTCAAGAACATGCATTTGAGGGAAGAACTCCTACGTGGAGTGTTCGCATATGGTGAGTGAAAGAGAATGTGGGTCATGTTATTTTGAGGTTAGAATTTCGGGGTCAAATAAATGGAGGTTGACACAGGTTTGCATTGGAGAAAGAGGATAATAATCATAATATTTTTAACAGGTTTCGAAAAACCGTCCGCTATCCAACAAAGGGCGATAAAACCTATAATGAAAGGGAGAGATGTTATCGCCCAAGCTCAGTCAGGTACGGGTAAAACAGCCACCTTTTCAATCGCAATATTACAATCCCTGGATTTCACCATGCGCGAAACTCAAGTATTATGTTTATCACCAACCAGAGAGTTGGCGGTACAAATCCAGAAAGTAATATTAGCTTTGGGCGACTTTATGAATGTGCAATGTCACGCATGCATCGGCGGCACGAATCTCGGCGAAGACATACGAAAACTGGATTATGGACAACATGTAGTCAGTGGGACACCTGGAAGAGTGTATGGTAACAACATTCAATTCGTGTTTAAATTCAAACAATAATTGACTTTTCTTAGACATGATCCGCAGACGAGCTCTGCGCACCCGTTCCGTGAAAATGTTAGTCCTGGACGAAGCCGACGAAATGTTGAACAAGGGTTTCAAAGAGCAGATCTACGACGTGTACAGATTTTTACCGCCATCCACTCAAGTCGTGTTAATTTCAGCCACATTGCCGCACGAAATCCTCGAAATTACTTCCAAGTTTATGACGGACCCCATACGCATCTTGGTAAAACGGTACGTCAACAAAATTATAATTTAGTCAAGATAATTTTACGCTACATTTTTTTACAGTGACGAGTTGACTTTAGAAGGAATCAAGCAGTTTTTCGTCGCCGTTGAAAGAGAAGAGTGGAAGTTTGACACCCTGTGCGATTTATACGACACCTTGACCATCACCCAAGCGGTTATATTTTGCAACACCAAGCGTAAGGTCGACTGGTTGACGGAAAAAATGCGCGAAAATAATTTCACCGTGAGTTCCATGCACGGCGACATGCCGCAGAAGGAACGTGACAATATTATGAAGGAGTTCAGGTCTGGGCAAAGCCGCGTTTTGATCACGACCGACGTTTGGGCGAGAGGCATCGATGTGCAGCAAGTCAGTCTTGTGATCAACTACGATTTACCCAATAATCGTGAATTGTACATCCACCGCATTGGTCGTTCGGGGCGATTTGGCAGGAAAGGTGTCGCGATTAATTTCGTGAAATCAGACGATATCAGGATTTTGAGGGATATTGAACAGTACTACTCCACGCAGATTGATGAAATGCCCATGAACGTGGCCGATTTGATTTAAAGTTGTTGTAAAATAAGGAAATATAAGATTTTTATGTATTTATTTATATAAATCCAGAAGCTAAACAGATTTTTTTTCATGAAGGTCACATTTGTTTCAACTAATTTGATAATTGAGTTTAGCTTAAAGGTGTAATGATGACCAATAAATTTTTCCATGTACTATGGGAGTGCACCCGGTACGTTTTATTTTATATATCATACAAGCTATTATATATTTATTATTTACTTACAGGTAGAGAACGCCCACAAAATTACACTTCTTAAAATTTGAACTCTTTGTATTTTTTAGTTTGTTTAGTGTCCTGCTGTTGGCGCTTGCGCTTGTTCTTCTGCTTCGCGACGTGCTCAGCCAACATGTCACTGAGATCTTCCTTCTGCAGTTGTGACTGATTTTCCCTCATCTGCTGTTCATAACGAACTGCCATAGCATCACTGTCCATATCCAGTTCAGATGGGTCTAGAGCCAATTCCACCATGCCTTCTCTATCGCCGGCTTTGCGTGCGGTAGCGGGGACCGCCCCCACGGCAGACATATCATAAACGTGACTACTCCCCATCATCGTGTTACCAATACGCTCGTTACGTTTTTCGGGTATGATGTGGTACAACGTAGGTCCCTCTCCCCTACAAAAAAAAAAAAAAAAAAATCAAAACAATAACACTTCGTTATCCAAACGTACTGTTCCATTTCGCTTTCTATCTTCTTCTTCCTCAACTCAATCGCTTCCGGTGTTTCCATGCCCGCTGGAACGCTCGTCAGACCACTGGGCGTGACCAAACCTTCCGCCGGTGTCACCAATCCAGAGTCATCAGCCGCGTTCTGTTTATCCTCGTCTTCTTCCTCCTCCTCTTCACTTTCTTCCTCCGATTCCGACTCCAACTCGCCCCATAAGGTACGATCGACTGACGGGTCTTCACCAATATCCTAAAATTAACGTCACTTTCATACCCAATCCGTTTATTGTTACCACTTACGTCAATATTCGTAACGTTCGTGCCAAACACATCTCCGTATAAAGGTTTGCCGTTTTCGTCGACTGGCGGTTTGCCCCAACCCCCGGCATGGTAACCGAAGGCGCACCCCTCGGGAATGGGGGCGTTCAAACCGGGAATTTTCAAGTTGGGGTAGCTCGGGGGCGGTCCGTAACGTTGCATGGCGATGAGCCACGGCGGCGGCACTTTGTTGGCGTTGGGGCCCACCGGCATTCCCAACGCGGTCCGCAGCTCCTCGGACAAATCACCCGGCTTTTTTTCTTTAAGTCTGGTCTCAAACTCCTTGCCTTCGTAGTAAAGGTCGCCGTGAATGGTCATTTTCGGTTTTGTCTGCCATCTAAAAACGGATCACATCATCAATTTATTTTTTATCTATATTTTGTTACTCACTTGAAGAAAGCGTCGTGCAATTTCTGATAATCAATGTCAATTTTGCCGAGTTTAGGTCGGGTTTTTTCCCTCATTTTCGCCTTTAAAGTCTTTGACTCGTCTTTGTCTTGTAGAGACGCACGCATTTCCATGATCCCCGTCCTCTTGATGAAATCTGGGAGGTTGAAGGGTGGTTTTTCGATACCGCGTTTACCTTGAAGGTACTTTCTTTTGAAACACCAATGCCGTGGAACCTATTAAAAACGACTGTAACAATGCATAAACATTTGAAATTAAATTTGATACCTGAACTGTGTTCCTGTGAGCTTTGAGTTGTACCAATAATTTAGGATCTCTGGCGGTGACGTCATGCATTTCAACTACATCCGGCCGACTTACAAGTTGTTTTAATTCAGCGACACTTAAGCGTGTCAATTTTTTTAGCTTTCTTTTGGACATTTTTGATTTATCGTCGATTTTTTTCTGGAAAAGAAAACATGTCATTCATGTTTAGTAGAGATGTACCGACTGTAGGTCTGGCCGACTAACCGACTAGCCGATTGTTCGGCCAGTAAAAACCGACTAGTCGGCCAACTGTTCGGCTTTGCTAAAACCGGTTTATAAATGCGACCGACAGTGTGTTTTCTTTTTCTATTTCTCTGACTACCTTAAAAATTTGTTTTATTTTAATAAAAGGAATAACTAACGTTTCTTTGTTTTCCAAAAAATGTGTTAAATTTGTTTGGATAATTTTAACATTTATTTTTTTTATTAACTCAGTACAAAAATAAAGAATACTTAACACACTTTAGGGCCAGTTTACACAATATTTTAACGGAGATTAAGTTGATCGAGCATTTAACAAAGTCATTAGAGACGTCTGATTGGCGTAGAGTCGGTCACATGGTTCTACAACCCGGGGTTAAAAATTAAATCGCAATTAAATATTTAATTGAGGCTCTGTAAACCGGGTTTAATTGTTTTATATACTATTTTAATTTTAATAAAAAAAGCCGACCGATCGGCTGTTTAGCCGACCAGTCAATTAGGCAATTTTTTTCTGAATTTTATTTACATTTTTTTTGAGCAATTATCTAAAGAAAGACCTTTTCTTGTTAATTTCGATTTGTAAGTAAGTTATTTTCAGGTGTATTGTTTCAAAAATTGCAACAATTTTCTCAGAAAGTATGTAAAAAAAAATGATAATTTTTGCGATATTTAAAAAAAACATTTTCAAACCAAATTTTTTGAAAATCTTGATCATGGTCGATCAACAAGTTATGTTTTTCAAATCACGTTGTGGAAATGCATTTCCCAAAATTTTTGAGGATTTGTGGCCACTTTTCAAAATGAATGAATTTTTTGACGAAACTGTCAAAAATTGCTAAATTTCAATTAGCGATTTTGGAAAAACGACAGGAATTTCCGAAGAAACGAAACCGAAAATGACGTCTTGATATCCACAATCTACAAGAGAATGTTAAAAGTGCCAAAATCAGTCTTATCTTATCAAATACTAGCCCCGCCCACCCGCCCTCGATTTTCTTGGAAGGTATGTCATTTGCCAAAATCAGTCTTGTCTTATCAAGTACTTGTAAACGTTGTTTTTGACTTGATTCTTTCAGAAATTCCAAGAATTTTCCCAGAATTGATAAAATTAAAAAGTGCCAATTTTTGAAACATTAAAAAAAACTAATTTTTCAAATGTCTCAGTTAATAACTAACGTTTGTAGAAATTATGCATTTTTTTCTTTTTTGATTTTTTCAGGCTACCATAGATTTTAAAATTGTTCAAGTTCAATCGTCCAAGTTTTTTTTAACTTTTGAAAATTAGGTCCGAGATTAGATTTTTTTTTAATTTAAATGTCAGGCTACGAAATTTTGAACTTTCAGTTTTTGAAATTTTTAGTAATAACTATAGACACTTTGTAAATTCTACAGAATTCAGAACTTTTCAAAACGATAATTCTAATAACGAGTTTTTGAAAAAAATGTTGGTATTTTTAGTACGTTTGAAATACCATCAATGTGTTTTCCGAATCACGCTGTGGAAATGTATTTTCCAGAATTTTTGACGATTTGTAGGCAACTTTTCAAAATGAATGAATTTTTTGACGAAACTGTCAAAAATTGATATATGTATTTCAATTAACGATTTTGGAAAAACGGTAGGAATTTCCGTTGAAACGAAACCGAAAATGACGTCGTGATATCCAGAATCTACTAGAAAATGTTAAAAGTGCCAAAATCAGTCTTATCTTATCAAAAACTAGCCCCGCCCACCCGCCCTCGATTTTCTTGGAAGGAATGTCATTTGCCAAAGTCAGTTTCATCTTATCAAATACTTGTAAACGTTGTTTTTGGGTTCATTCTTTCAAAAATTCCAACAATTTTCCCAGAATGGATAAAATAAAAAATACCAATTTTTGATGCATAAAAAAACAAATTTTTCAAAAATCTCAGTTAATAACAAAAATTTATGGAAATTATGCATTTTTTTTCTTTTTACTTTTCAGGTCACCATAGATTTTAAAATCGTTTTAAGTTCAATCGTTCCAAGTTTTTTTTACTTTTGAAAATTAGGTCCGGATTAGATTTTTTTAAATTTAGAAGTCCAGGAAACTCGTCGAAAATTATGTAAGGATATTTTCTGGTTAATTTAGATTTGTAAGTTTTCGGGTTAATTTTTTCAAAAATTCCAACCAAATTTTTTGAAAATCTTGATCAATCAATTGATAAGATAAGATTGATTTGGCAAATCACATAGTCGCTAAGAAAATAGAGGGTGGGTGGGTGGGGCTAGTATTTGATAAGACTGATTTTGGGAAATAACATACCCTCTAAGAGAATAGAGGGTGGATGGGCGGGGCTAGTATTTGATAAGATAAGACTGAAGTGTGTTTTCTTTTTCTATTTCTCTGACTACCTTAAAAATTTGTTTTATTTTAATAAAAGGAATAACTAAAGTTTCTTTGTTTTCCAAAAAATGTGTTAAATTTGTTTGGATAATTTTAACATTTAATTTTTTTATTAACTCAGTACAAAAATAAAGAATAACACACTTTAGGGCCAGTTTATACAATATTTTAACGGAGATTAAGTTGATCGAGCATTTAACAAAGTCATTAGAGACGTCTGATTGGCGTAGAGTCGGTCACATGGTTCTTCAACCCGGGGTTAAAAATTAAATCGCAATTAAATATTTAATTGAGGTTCTGTAAACCGGGTTTAATTGTTTTATATACTATTTTAATTTTAATAAAAAAAGCCGACCGATCGGCTGTTTAGCCGACCAGTCGCCGACTGCAGCCGACGATGAAAAACGGCCGAATAGTCGGCTTATCCGACCGGTCGGCCACTAGTCGGTACATCCCTAATGTTTAGTTAAACACAATGACTTACATCTTCAGGATCTTCCATTTCTTCCTGAAAATGATCACCCAAATTGTTTAGAATATTTTTGCTTGCTAGAGATGTAGGTGTCGCCAGAACCGGAGGTGGAATATCCTGTTTTTGGTCAGATATTTTGAAGGACTCGAAAATGCTGTAGTACTGTCTGTACTGAGGTGCCAATTCATGCAGACCGATTGTTTCTTGCACATATCTTAACAACAATAACAAAATTCGCAACTATCTCTAAAGTAAATAAATTTACTTACTCAACCTCCACATTTGGATCATCCCCCTGCTCATCCTTGCTTCCGTTCTTCTCTTCATTCTCCCTATTCTTTTTATTCTTCTTTCTTTTCTTCTTTTTCTTATTCTTGCTTATTTTGGCGTTCTCTTTATTCTGACCGTCCTCGTCGTTCTCTGCAGGCGCTTCCTGTAATTTCAACAACACAATAAAACAATTTCGCCGTTTGTGCTACATACAACGTTGTCATCTTTCTCCCACAAAACTTCTCTTGTTTGTGCTTGCAATGGGTCTGTTTCCTCGACCTCCAGTTCCAAAGCGCGTTGATTTTTCAGCGCCAACACCTCTTCCAACACTTGTGGGAGAATAACTTCAGTCGGCGTTTCGACTATTTGTTCCGGTGGGTCCACTTTTAGAGACAGTAGAGACGGAAGTTGCTTCTCGTTTCCTGGAACGTTATCTGCAACTTTTGACGTATATGTGCGACGTTAGGGGAAAGTTATGAGTACCTGAGACTGCGAACATGACTTCTGGGGGCGCATCGTGGATTTGCAGTTGTTCTGGGTTCATTTTTGGAACCTAACCTATAAAACACCGGGGGGTATTTTGCGACTCCTGGGAGCAATTATTAACAAGGAACAATTTTAGTCTTACTATAAAGTATCACTAGTAGCTAAAATAACGAATGGGGGGTTAATATTTATCAATAATTACAAAAACGCCACTAAATATTCACTGTTGTTGTGATAGAAAATTCGACAATAGATGACGCTACGCAAATTGTTTAGTGACTTTCTGTTTATCACTAATCTTTTACAAGCACCAATAAGAACCAAAGTCATTTAATAGATATCTCTATTAACTAACCTTGAATAAGAACGAACTTTCTCGTTTGAAGTTTAAAAAAATTTGACAGGAAAATATTTAACCGTAATTTTATTTATTTTACTTATTTGACTATTTAAAGTTAAATAACAGTTTTTAAACGTTGTTCGAGAGTGAATAACCTTTGTACTATCGTGTGTGGCTTGTAATTTTTGAAAAATTTGTTAATTTATCGTTACTTCACATCAGGTAAGTAATTCAAACAAATTTATTTCAACACAAACTAAAGTCAAGATTTATGTTTTTAGACTATGAAATGTCTGCCAAATCAACCCGAAAACTAAACAAACACCTAAAGCACAAAAACTCGCCGGCCGTATTTTTCGGTGACGATGACGAACCGTCGAGTGGTACCACTAGTGAAAAAAGGGTCCGAAGAATCAGAAGAACAGCCGACATGATTTGCTTCGAGACCTCAACACACGAAAACTTCATAAAAAGCAAAATAAACAAGTTGTCGGGAAAACCATCACTCTCGTCAGCAATAAGTGAATGTTCACCTCCAGGTCTTAAGAAAGCAAGCATTGTAAACAATCTAAGCACTGATTTTCCCACTGAAAAAATTACAAATGATACTTGTGGTGGGAAAAGAAAAATTATTAAAGCCAAAAGACTTCTAAAAAATAACAACAACAACAAACAAAACCTAGAAGAAATACAAGAACACCAAAACGCAACTGAGGAGATTACAGACACACAAATAGCTTTAAATGAAGAAGAAAATGTACAAACAAATGAACATTTAATTGATGTTGATGGTATGATGGTGAAAACACTCCCAAGTCCAATAGCCCCATCTGAAAGCAGCATAGAAATCAACACCAGTGAGTTAAGTCTCAGCAAGCATTTACAGTTCAACTCATCCAAAGAAGAGATTCATCCATCAACTAGTGGTATTGTGGACCCACCTAAAAGACGCACGTACGAGCTTGAAGACAGTACTATTGACGTTTCTTTGTTAAAATCAATTTCTGAAAGAGACTCCACCAGAATGAGTTCTTTGCCAAGTTCAGAGGATTCACAGTACCAAACACCATCCAGGGTAACAATCAGACGAAAATGGAACAAACCTCAACGTTTGTCAGTTAGCTTGAGTGACACTCCAAGCTGGATTAATAACAAGTCATCAAAAAAGTCTGTTAGTTTTTCAGACAACTTTAAGAAAGAGGAGTCACAAAGTACGGTGTCAACTTCAAAGAAGCATGTGTCAAAGGTAAAAATTCCAAATTTTGCAGCTATTCATGCAAGAGCTTTGGAAAAAATTGAAGATATAACAGAGTACAAACAGCGGAAAGAAAACAGGGCTAAAATGTTATTATCTGGCGCCAAACCAAAGAACTTGCAAAAATCATCAAGTACAAAAAAAAGTTCAAGTGTACAAAAATTATCCAGCAAAAAGGAAAGTTGGAAACAGTTAAGATTTGCACCTAACACAACTTTAAAAGAAAAGTCCCCAACTTTTATTCCTTTGCCGTCAACGCCTATACCCAGAAATACAAAACAAACAATGAAATCACCACTTTTTGAAACTGAGTTTCCAAAGTTCAATTTTGTATTTTCAAAGGAAAACAGGTTTAATGGAAGTCCTGCGTTTAAACAAGCAGAGACGCAAACTGTGCAGATTAAAAATCACCAAGATGGGCTTAAAAAATCTAACTTCGTTTTTTCAAAGAAAAACAAGTTTACTCACATTCCTGTCTTTAAACAAGCTAATGTTGAAAAGAAAATCTTGGCGGTGAAGGACTGTAACATAAAACAGACTTTCAATGTACAAAAACAAACACAAATAAAATCCATTGTTACCAAAAGCAAGCCAGTTAAGGACGCTTTGGAAACCAGAAGATGCGCAATTAAAGGCGTTCGGTCAAACCGGAGGTTTGAGCTGTTGATGAATATGAGAAAGGGAAAATGAAAGCAATACAATGAAATGACGCTTTTATTAATTTAAGTTTCTATGTATTTTTTTTAAGTTTTTATTGTAGACTCGTCAAAATACTTATTAAACTTTTTCCAATGATGGCGTTTTTTCGGGTCTTTGTTGCTGTTGGGAGGATTTAAATTGGGCATCAACCCTAAAACGTGTCATGTAATAATAGAGTGGAACTTAGTTAACACATACCTGCTTTGTGGGCCATTGTGACTAACGCTGACATACGTTTTTGCTGTTTTCTGCACAACCCTGTGATTCTTCTTGGTAACATACAGCCATCTGAACGAACAAACTGACTTAAAATTAAAACGTCTGTGTGTTTAATGTCTAAACCAGAGGCACAAACGGGACACACCACAGGGTTGGCGTTTTTTAAAAGATGTGGTTCTCGTTCGGAAGGTAATATTTTTGCACTGATTGTTACAGTGTTGTCAGTGATAACTTCCTCAACTGAAAAAAACGACTATTAACAAACAGCTAAATCTACAAAAGTACTTACTTTGTTTCAGTTGCAGTTTAGAACTTAAGTATAAGGATCTTGTGGGGTATCCAATTTTTGTCGTTGGGCAACGTTCCCACAATGTTAACAGTTTTAAAAAAGACATAATTCCGAAGTTAAGTGTTCTTACACATTTCATGAAAAAAAAAAGAATCGTTTTGTCTGGTTTTGTGAACCTAACCTCACATAACCTCTTTAGTCTGGTTATCGATACATGGCGCGAATTTTTGAATTTTCACCAAGTATTCCAACACTAATCTTTATTAAACACCTGAAACTCAAACTTTATTGGATGTAGTACATGTTTTACAACAAACGTGTTAAACTAAACTTTCTTTAAAAAATTAATGCGTGAAGTTATACATAATATTAGAGCAAAACAAAACCATCATTCTTTTGCTTGTCAAAGCCATCATTTTTCTGCTTGTACTGGGGTTTATTCGTAGCACTAGCAGCTTTTTTTTTGTTAACCTTGTGACCTGGAGTTGGGGGCCCCTTTGACCTATCTCTGTGTTTGACCGTATCACTCTTGGCACTCTTGACCTCCTGTTGCAATAGTGCAACTGGCTGCATCAATTTTTCCTCTTGCACCATATTCACCCTCAAGTAATAAATCAATATTTGCTCCCCAGTTACAAAACTGCTAACGGAATCTACATTAATCGAAACACACGCCTCTTCACTGAACAACTCTTGGTTCTCCAAATCAATCCCTTGACAGTAATCACTCATAGTAATCTTCTTTTTTGACCTCCCTGGTTTGAAAATCTCTATCTCGTAAGAAAAACCATCGGCCTCTTTCGCGCTCCCTATGTACTGAACGGCCCAAAACAACTTATTTTTGGTGAGTTTGCACTTGAACCAGAACAATTTGTTATAGGCTTCTACTATATTTACGTAATAGGACTCTGCTTTCATTTTAGTGTGACAGACGTTGCTTTTGTGGTAGGGCTTACTGGACGTCTTTTTGGACGCCCAGTGGGCAGCTAGGTCCTCCAGTTTGCCCACCCATGAGCACTTGTCCATTGCGCATTTGAAGCCTTTAAGGGGGCACCGCAACTCGTGGGTTTCGCGCTCTGTGAAGGACAGTTTGGCCATGCAACCAGCTGGTTTGTTGATGCAAGGATAGCGCATTTTGACGGCTAGGCCTTCCAGGGAAATGTTGCGCGATTCGGTGAATTTTCCTTGGCAGAGAGCGCATTTGGGTAGTTTTTTTCGGCAAGTTTCACACACGCTGTGGCCTGTGGCGCACTGGCGGATCGGCGGGCTCATGTAGTTGGTGCAAATGGGGCACTCGAGCTCCACCAGGAGTTCGTCGTACAAGTGTTCTTCCATGGCTGGAAATTTGACAGGATGTGTTATATAAAGCGGTTGATAAGAAATTACCTACTTTACGAAATTGTATGTGTTTTATCACAATCAGGAAAGAATTTCTGTTTTTGACTGAAGTACAGGAGCGTCCGGTAATGTCTCGTTATTGACGAGTTTGACGGCAAAAATCTACAATGTGGAATGGTTAAATAAACTGATACAATTATTAAAGTTATGACGTTACCACAGTTCAGGCCAAATTAGATAGCAATGATACCGATAACACACAAAACAATTCGGCGCAACATTGTTTAGAACCAGCTGGACATATAAAACGAAGGACAAATATGAGGCATAGATACAAGGAGATAAAACTCGTTAAGATAAGAAAATATGGTTTGAACTCACATTTATAAAACACACCCAACGAATGAAAAAAACACTAAAGTATCAAACAAAGAAGAATTTTTTAAAAATTCCGTTCAGGGCCGGATTTACCGTGCCGGACAGGTTTTAATCATTACAAGACTTAACAAAGGCGACCATAGAATAACAAAGAAGTGACACTTGCCGCTGGCGCCAAGTTTGAAAATGACTGAACAATATTAGAGTAATCACTGGAACGAAGAGGGGGTAGGTGGGCGGGGCTATTGCTTGCTTATAAAAGATTCTGTAGGAAAAAGGTAAACTTAGCCCCGCCTACCCACCCGTTCTCTCATGTTTTTCTTCAGGAATAAGAAATAAATGTTATAGTAAATAAGTGGTATAATAAAAAAAATACGATTAACAGCTTCCGTTTTATTAGTTCCCAATCATACTTAAAATAGAAGAGTCAATTTATTTTTTTGATTAAATCGGAAACGGTTTATCCGTTTTCCTGAAAACTGACGTTTCATGATCCCTAGAATACGAAAACATAGGTCTCTTGTGTCCGTCGTTTGTGTCAATTTTTGTGTATAGGTATATTAGAAATATCGTGTAGATGGTAAAACAAAAATTTTTCTGATAAAAATCGATAACGCAGAATGTTAATTCTAGAAATTACAAACATTCTAAAATTCTGACCGAATTTGTGGAAAGATTCCAAATGTTGTGAAAGTCCCAAATATTCTACCCCTTTCAAAGGTGTTAAGGCTTACAAGGATGCCAGAAACTCTAAGGACTACAAGGATTTCAGAAATTTCAAAAAATTAAAAAAAAATCTAGAGAAGCCGGAAATTTAAAAATTTTAAAGGGATTTCAGGGATTCCAAAAATTCCGAAAATTTCACATATTCCAAGTATTTAAAAATTGGAAAGATGATAAAAGTCCTAAAGATCTAAAAATATTTAAAAGTCTAGAGATACTGGAGTTTCTAAAAATAAAAAAAATCAAATCTGAAAGCTCCAAAGATTATAGAAATTCTAGTGATTCTAGATTCTAGACATTCTAAAGAATCCAAAGTGGTTTGAAAGATTCAAAAAGTATAAAAGCTTTTCTAGAAACTGCGAATTGTAAAGACACTTAAGATTCTAAATAAACTAAAGTTCTAATGTTCCAAATATAAAAAAGATCCAACAAAATCTTAAAAATTTTTTAAGAAACTGGGGGGTACCAATGATCCTAGAATTTGCAGAAATTTTAGGCTTTATTAAACTCCTAGTTATTCCCAAAGGTTCAAAATTTCTGTAGATTGGAAAGGCTCCAAAGGGTTTAGACTTTAGTCTTTAGAGGCTCAAAGGACTCTAAGGGGTCAAAAGCTAAAATTCTGTTTCGAATACTTGAAAGATTCTAAAGGTTCGAGAGAAATTCCAAAAGGCCAAAGATTCTAAAATTTGTAAAAATCGCGTGAACTCTTAAAATACCAAAGATTTTAAAAATTCCAAAGACTTTAAAGAAAACAAAAATTTTAAAGACCTAAAAATCCTAAAGATCGGAAAAATGCTTTCTTTAATTTTTATAAATCCTAAAAGCACTGAAGGCCTTGAACACCCTAATTATTATTTTATAAATCTTGGAGACTGTAAAGATTCCAGAAATTCCAAAAATTCCAATGTATAAATTTTAGAAAATCTGAAAAAATTTAGAAAGTGTGGGAAAAATGTAGTAGACCTAAAAATCTTGAAAATATTGGAAAAGATTGAATTTCAAAATTCTGGTATAAATGGAACCTGATAATTTTAGAAATTTTGGAAAATGGAAATTCTAGGGATTTTGTGCACTTCGGAAAATCTGAAAAATTTGGCAAATTTGGAAAATCTGAATATTCTGGAAATTTTGAAAATTTTGCAAATTACGAAATTTCCCATAAAATTAAAAGAAAATACAAAAATATTGAACCTCAAAATTTCAAAACTTTACACAATCTTAAGATTGTAGATATTGTAAAAATTCCAAAGTTTCCAAATGTTTGAAATATTTAAAAGGTTTCAAACCTTTCAAAAATTCTAAAAATCTTAAAGTTTTCATACACTAGAATAATAAATAGTAAAGGCACCAAAGACGCTAAATAAACTAAAGTTTTAGGTTCTAAATAAAAGAAACATCCAACAAAATCTTATAAATTGTAAAGATCTTGGAAGTATTAATGTTCCTAGAAATTATAAAAATTCTAAACTTTATAAAATTTCTAGTAATTCTGAAGTATCCAAAATTCCCAAAGATTGTTAAAACTCTGAAAACTCTAAAGATTATAAATACTCTAAGGACTCAAACGTTGTTAAAAAGGTTTTTAAAATTCTGTTCCAAATATTTCAAAGATTCTATAATTTGTAAAAAACGCATGAATTCTTAACATGCCAAAAATTTTAAAGATTCCAAAGACTCTAAACAAAACAAAAATTCTAAAAATCTAAAAATCGTAAAGATCTGAAGAATGACTCCTTTAATTTTTATCTATCTAATACATCTCAGAGATTTGAAACATTCCAGAGATTCCAAAATTTTCAATATTTAGAAGGTGTGAAAAATCTGGAAGAGCTAGGAATCTTGAAAACTTAGAAAAATGTTGAATTATGGCATATCAGAAAACTGATATTTTTATAACATTTAGAAAATCTGGAAATTAATCAACAAAACAAAAATCTTTAACTTCTAAAAAATCCTAAAAGCACTGAAGCCCTTGAACATCCTAATTATTATTTTATAAATCTTGGAGACTGTAAATATTCCAGAGATCCAAAAATTCCAAAGATTTAGACTCCTGAGATCTATAAATTTTAGAAAATCTGAAAAAATTTAGAATGTGTGGGAAAAATGTGGTAGACCTAGAAATTTTGAAAATATTGGAATAGATTGAATTTCAAAATTCTGGTATAACTAGAGCCTGATAATTTTAGAAATTTTGAAAAATGTGGAAATTCTGGTCATTTTGTGTAGGTACTTCGAAAAATCTGAAAAATGGAGTGAGCCGTTCCTGACGTAATCAATAAAACAAATTGAACATCCATTAATGTTTTTGAGTCACCTGTACAAGCAAATCTAAAAAATATGAATGCAATGATAAATTACAAGTATAGACTTATCATATTTTGCTAATTTTAGATAGGATTTATTTGACAAAATTTTGAGTTGACGTCATCAATTTTTTGGAGGGGATAAGCAAATATATTTTGATTAAAAATCATAACTTTAAAACATCTGCAAAATTTCCAAACATTCGGTTTTGTAAAATCTTGTTTTCCAAAAATCGGGACGTTACGGGTAAAAATTCAATACGGAATCATAAACTACATGTGTTATTTTATATAATTTCAAACTCATTTACTATGTGACGTCATCACATTATTAGTGGGGATGATTAGACTAATTTTAGCGTTACCACAGGTAATATTTTACCATCAACATGATATTCCTAATACAGTAGCGGTCATTTCTACGGAACCACTCGATAAAAAGTCAAGTTGGTAGCCCTGTCATCTAGTACTTTACGCCAAACGCGGTTGGTAGCGGTAGTTGAAATGGCAATCGAAACTAGCACAACACGAATGTTTCGGTTGCCCTCAGCTATGCCGCACTGTATCCCGTGCAGACTGTATGTTCTGTTCATCTATTTATTAAAATAAAATATCTACATTAACAATGGGGCCATCTAACCTGTCAAATTTTTGACACATATGTTTTCCCCCAGAAACCCGTCAAGGTCACTTACACCAAACAAATTTTGAAAATTTACACTAGGGAGTGGTTCTATAGAAAAGATCGCGACTTTACAAGCACAAAATTTGAAAACAATCGACCCAGTACGACGGACGGACGAGCTAATACTTGTTAAAATAAGACTGATTTTGGCAAATCACATACTCTCTAAGAAATCAGGGGTGGGTGGGCGGGGCTTAGTTTCCTCTGGGATAAGACTGATTTTGGCAAATGATATAGCCTCTATGAAAATAGATAAGACTGAACAACATTGGGAGTAGTTACTAAAATGAAGGGGGATAGATGGGCGGGACTACTTCTTATTTATAAAACTGTAGAAACAAGCTAACTAAGCCCCGCCCACCTCCTTTCGCCATTTTCACTGACTTATTTGTATTTACTGTAAAAAATCGACCCTTATCCCTTTTAAAAACTCAAAGTATTATTTTATAATTATTGCTTAATACCTACTTCGTGAATATTTTGTTTAACACTTTATTTAATTTCTTGCCAATGGTTTAACGGTTTTGCTTAAGATTTTAATAAAATAATGTCATTAATTAACAGTATTAAGAATACTCACCAGATTGGAGAGAGAGGGTAGGAGGGCGGGGCTATTACTTGCTTATGTAGGACAAAGTTAAACTTAGCCCCGCCCGGGTGGGGGGTTAAGTTTTTGTCCTCACATTTTTTTCTTCTGAAATAAGAACTAAATCTCTTAGCAAATAGTATAACAAAAAATACGATTAGCGCTTTTTTTCTTTTTTTAATAAACTAGGTTTTACTAGTTCCCATTCCCATTTTACGGAGTAATTAAGCTGGCCACCCACCCCGCCTCCAGTTCAGTTATTAATTTTATTTGGTCTGAATAAAACGTGAATCTTATACTCAACAAAAATTAAATCGTTATAATGAGAACAGCGCCGGTGGGCAGGTACTTGCTAGGATGAGACTAATTTTGGCAAATGGCATATCCTCTAAGAAAAACGAGGGCGGGTGGGCGGGGCTAATACTTGTTAAAATAAGATTGATTTTGGCAAATCACATACTCTCTAAGAAATTCAAGGGTGGGTGGGCGGGGCTTAGTTTCTGTTAGGAGAAGACTGATTTTAGCAAATGATATAGTCTCTATCATCTATCTCATAGCAATTATATAACAAAAAAAATATGATTCGTGGTATTTTTTTCTTTCCTGTGGGAGACTAGGTTTAATTAGTTCCCATTCCCCCTCTACAGAAGAACATATAATTAACCCCGTCCACCCACTCCTCCTACATTTCAGTTCATTGAATTAAGTACACCAAAATTAATATATTTATACAGAGTGGTCTATTTTTGAGGCGTAATACACAAATTATTTATTTATTATTATTATTTTTAATGGAAAATGGGCCCCTAGTCGTTATTTTTTTTCCTACAATGTGAAACAATCTCGGGGCCTTCTAGTGTGACGGGAGACCTATTTCTTCGTACTCTAGGGGTCATGACAGGTCGAAAAAACGTAAAAGTAGAGAGTCAGCCGACGGACTCGATTACAATACTTCCTTCGCTTACCTCGAGAAGTAAAAAAAGATAAATTAATAAACTATTTGCCTCGACGCATAATGCTTTACAAATTTTAAATGGAATTTACTCAGCAAACTTTTGATGCAGCGTCATTTAAATATTGGAGGGGATGGATAAACAAGTTTTGCTAGACAAAAAAATTACGTAACATATTATTATTCATAAAAATACACGTAATGAAAGACAGTCTTAAAAAAAATCAATTTTATACAAAAAAAAAGAAATTCGTGCACAGAACGTTATTGCTCAGCATTTCCCACTTCAACAATCCACTTCATCGTCAAGATGTACATCTTCCACACTCTCGTTAATTAAAACCTCGAAAGGACTTTTAGTCGCCACAGTCCTTACGACAATGACACCACTAAAACCAATTCCCATTTAAATACAATTTTTCCAATTCAATCAAACCATACATCACAACACATATTTCAAAAATATAAATCCCAGCCGTCACAAAATTGAAAAACCCGGGACTCGTACTAATCGTGTCGTTATAAATAAGCGTGTAAAGCGGAGAACCTACTATTCCAAGAAAGAACTGACAGGCCGTGAGTGACGCAAACACTTTTCCGATTTCTTCGTTCGGTAGTACTTTAGAAACCAGCGAACGCACCATCGGTCCAAAAATACCGTCCAATAATTTGGCAAGAGGGACTAAAAATTGACCAATTAGAACTCGAGCATGGAATGACTGAGGTGGTACCAAAGTACACAGTCCAGTAACTGTGCGCCAAACCCATCATCAAAGCACCATTCAGTGATGACAACAAAGCGACTAGTATTAACACAGTTTCGGGAATTTTTAGCACTTTGTGTAGAACATACACGGCACTTATGGTGCCTAAAATCTGACATACACTTCCAGCTGCAGCAAACAAGGTGTAGTTCTGTAAGGACCAGTGGAACTGTTCTCTCAGGAAGAGAAACATGACTGAACCGCCTCCAGTCACGGTTATGGTTGAGAGTGTAGTCATTAGGATGCAACACAGAACGGTGAATCGCACGTAGTTGTCCCTTTTTTTGAACGTAGTGGTCACCATTTCGTTGATGTTGGACACACGGAACAGCTCTTTGATTTTACCCTACAATACACACTATGAACTACTTGAGTACCACCTTGACAACGAAAAGTTACTTCAGATTCTTGATTTGCTATAGATTCTGGGATACAATAGATGGTAAAAATGAAACCAACTAAACAACAGATTGCTCCTAGAGAAAAAACAACTTCATAACTCGTGAATGTAAAAATATAAGAACTTGACACTGTTCCTAGAACAATTCCTAAAAATATGGTACACTCTATAACGCCCATCTTCATTCCTCTATTCTCCTGGCTTGTGGAATCAGTGACGTGGCACAGTATAGCTGCAAGTAATGACGGTATGCCTCCACTGAGACCAACAGGTAGGGTACAAATCACAGAGTACCAAGGCGATGCCGTTTCAACAAGAGAAAATATCGTCGTGAGTACGAAATACAAAAAGTACCCTACAAAAATCAAGTCCCATTAATATACAAGTCACCAATCACGACTTTACCTATCAAAGGCGCTACAATGATAGGTTTCCGACCAAAACGATCTGACCACGGTCCCACAAACAAACACACGATTGACGAACAAAAGCCTTCGACTACTGTGTTCATCATGCCGGTGACCGCTGCAAAGGGTTGTACAACTTTTTCTAAATTGGCGGTTTGGTCATCAGGATTTTGGCTTCCCAGTAATGCACATTCGGCTTTACTGTAACCCAGGGTGAGGTAGCACGTTCGGAAGATGATTAAGTTGGATTTGATTGGGTCTGTAATAATAATGGTGGTACTATTTTGGTTTAGCGTTGAAGTGGAACTTACCGGAAAACATGAAGGCGAAGAACCAACAGAAAAGTGGGACTTCTACGTTGATGATCAGGCTGCGAAACGTGTGACGAGGCATATTGACTTAAGTCTTCTTGGAATAACTAAATGCGTACAGAAAAAACTGTGATTTGTTATGACTTAAGTTAGGTGAACATGATAACTCAGAGAGAAAAAAGAACTATATGGTGGAAAGAAATAAGAAACATAGACATAAAGAAGGAAGAATAGAAAGAAGGGTTATGTGATGTGCTAAATTACGTTGAAAGTTTCCAAATAATCTACATTTGGCATCGTTTTTTGTAATCGCATGTTATTTATTATCGTTGATCGGCGGCATCTAAGTGTAATGAATGTCCAAATCTAATCTAACAATCAGCTGGTAATTAAAGCACAGTGAAAAAATCCCGTTGAATTGTGTGAAATGTTACATACCCACATCACAGTTACGCTTAACTCCAACAACTGGAACAACCAAGATCCAATCGTGGTTATTCCCAAGGTCTATAAAACAAAGCTAACATCATGCCTTCACCTTGCAATTAATAGTTGGTTGCTAAAAACTTGTCAAGTTAACAATTCATGCGCGAAAAATGTTATAATCTGGGATTTATTTGCGACTTATATCATATGTTATGTATTATTATTATAACTGTTTGTTTTGCTGTAATCGGTTACGTAATGAAACAGTTTCATAAATGATACCTACATTGTTGAGATAATTATAATTATTATGTATCTGGACTTTGTCAAGCTTTAAGTACTGATTAATTGACTGATTTTACAACTGGACCAAACCCGTGGCAATCAGTCGAAAGTCGCACCAATGGTACCACTATTCAGTACTATCCTTGAAGCTTGAACCAAACAGGAATGGGGGGAAGCCAACGAAATTATAATTACGTAATAGACATGTAAAGAGAAGCAATTTTAATCTTAATAAAGCTGTCCATAGAATAACAAAGAAGGGACACTTGTCATTGGCATCAAGTTGCTATAATTATCCATACTACGTACCAAATCCATCAAGCATGTGACAAATTTCAGACAATTTGGTTTACTAGAATTCAAGTTTAAACCATCGTTATACAGAATTAAGCTGCTTTGTTTGCGAAAGTTTGTTCGACTTTTTTATTATCATTTGTTATTCATTTCGTGAAAACAGTGCAATTATGAGCCACCGTTTAACACTATTATCACCAATTCAAGGTCGCTTATAATTCCTAACGAAACAAAGCCTTATCACTTTATTTTTATAACGACGTTGTTAATGTTGCAGAAAACTTGAAGTAGAAAAGGCAGTAAAACGTGTAAGTAGTACTTCAGAATTTTAATCACAGTCCTATATCTTCCGCGCCACACAGAAAATTGTAAAAACCAGAAACTCTATCAACAAAAACAAAATAAACATTAAAACTCAAACTTTCAGATAAAAATTTATTATCACATAACAAAATATTGCACATGGAAATTCCATAATGGTCGCTATGATTAATCAACACTATACATCCGCTGATATAATTTAATAATAAATATTACGAAACAATATCTTCTACAACAGACTGACTACAACTATCATCCTTGTCCACAATTTCCTGGTAGACGACTTCATTTCTCGAAACTCTGTATACACAAATCGTCATTCTGAAACCACCAAAAATCAAAACCCACCCAGACAAAAATAAAACAACATACATGGCAAGAAGAATTTCAACGCCGTAAATTCCAGCAGCCACGAAATTAAAAATAGCCGGATTGGTCGAAATTGTCGCATTGTAAATAGCAGTGAACGTCGGCGACCCTGCCATTCCAAACAAAGCTTCACTGACCACGATCAAAGCGAAAACTTTTCCAACTTCTTCGTTTGGTACTATTTTCGACACCAGCGACCGCACCATCGGACTTAGAACACCACCAAGGGCCCGCGTAAACGAAGCTTAAACATTTCTTGCAAAACCCACACTCTCTAAAAAACATATTTACCAGCATACACCTCCCAGTCGTAAATCGCCAACCCCATCATCAACATCCCAAAGAACATCGACGTAAACCCCACCAGAAGCATAAAAGTTTCTGGGATTTTCATCAGTTTGTGGAGGACGTAGGTACCGAAGAGGGTACCAACGACCCATGCGACGTTATGGGCGGCGCTGTACAGCGTGTATTGTTGCAAGGACCAGTGGAACTTCTCCCGGACGTATAAAAACGCTAGGGCACCATCACCATTGACGGCTACGATAAAAATAGTCAAAATAAGAATGCAACATAGAACGATGAAGCGGTCGTAGTTTCTTCGGGGTTTGAAGGTCGTTGTGAACATGTCTTTGATGTTGGTGATGCGGAAGAGACCCCGGAGCCGACCCTCGGTTTCTGGATTTGCGACTGATTCTGGGATGAAGGTTGCTGTAAATACGAAATTCAGAAGGCAGCATGTGGCAGCTATGGCGAAAACCGTGGGGTAGTTCGTTGCCAGGAAAATGTAGGAGCTCGAGATGTTACCCAGGAAAATACCAAGAGCTAGAACGGCTTCGAAGATGCCCATTCTGACTCCTCTGTTGGTTTCGTCGGTGACGTCACTGATGTAACATAGAAGGACGGTTAAGTAGGAGGCGGCTCCTCCTGTTACGTACACAGGGATTGAGCACAACATAGAGTACCAAGGGGATACAGTTTCTAAAGCTGCGAAGACCCCAAGAAGCGCAAAATGAAACATGTACCCTGTAAGAATTGTTTGTCTTTCAAGTGTCACAAAGCACAAAGCAGTTACCTATCACAGGAATGGTTAAAACCGGTTTTCGTCCAAATCTGTCCGACCATGGTCCTATGAACAGACAGGTTATAGCCGGTACGAACGATTCTGTTAAAGAATGAACCATGTTTACGACGGCGGCGTAAGGTTCAACCGCTTTTTCTAAATCGGCTGTTGAGTTATCAGGGTGTGTGCTACCCAGCAGGGCGCATTCTGATTTGTTGTAGCCCAGCGTTACGTAGCATGTTCTAAAGATGATTAGGTTGGTTCTGATTGAGTCTGAAATTGATTCGAGTTACTACGAAGTGGAAGCTTGAAGCATGAAGCGTCTCACCAGAAAATTGAAAAGCGAAGAAGATGAGGAGCAAAGGCACTTCGATGTGGATCTTCACGTTACAAATTGTGCATTCGGGCATTGTGAGGGGATGTCCTCAACTAGCAAATCTCGCGATGATATGTGTGGTTTTTATTATCTGATAAAGTTCATTACAGGAGCTGTAATTCCCGGAGGGTTACGTCATCGACATCGGTAGTATGATAGAAGGGATATCACAGGCATGTCTGTAGAAAAAATATATACTGTGCAGAAATGACGTCATTTCTTAATTCAAACGTTCAGTTTTCGTAATCGTCCTTTTACTTGACACCGCGCGGTCTACGTTTTTTGCCGGCCTTTAATGAAATGTTGGGAATCCGGATATACATTACACTAGCACTGTCGCTTTACCGTTTAACAGTAAATATCAGCTGCGCGTGATGCGTAATACTCAGCAAAGGAAAAAACGTGAGGCCAAGGATTTAATGTTGTCACAAAATTGCAGATGGATTAGTTTTGAACTTATCAACGCAACGCGACCGGATGTACAGGACAAGGTCAAGGTGTTTAAAGCGTAATTGCCAAATTTTCAGTTTTACCTGTTAAATTTTAAATGACTTTTCAGTTAAAATTAATTCGCATTAATTAGTAACCAGCAACACTTACATTTAGATGTAAAAACTACTAAATGTTGTCATCGCATGAATGGACAATCTTGTGGAACTAGAAATATCTACGTTATAGCAGTTGCACGGGGATTAGGTAACTGCATTATCAATCAAATCGTGTTTAAAACAATAGCTGTTATCACTGATCGTTTTAATGAAAAGTAAAAGTAAATACAAACATAGAAACGACCTACAATCCTTTGTACCATGTTTGGGACAATGTGCGCAAGCGCAGTGGATGAACCTTGTCGGTGTCATGTTTACAAATATTACGTACGATTACGTTTGCAGAATTGAGAGCGTGTAATGTTGGTCACCTATATACGAACTGAAATATAGTTATAATTTTATAAAATGGTAAATAAAAGATGATGCAAATTTCTTTGACACTGAATTAATTGTCTTTAGTAGCAATTTTGTGCAATTTATACCTTAAGCTTGTATTCGACCTAATAAATTGACAAAAATTAAAATAGTCCTCCGGACTAAATAGATCGAATTTTCCGTCTAAAAATTTGCCCCTAGGACTAAAAACTTCAAAGAATCGAATACTCTAAACCGCAGTGCGAACTTTTGAACCGTTCTGGCGTTATGTCTTGTCAAATTTGAAAAAAGGCTGTTTTGTAACTCAAAAATGACACCTTTCTGTATATTTATTAGTCCTTCATACTAAACGGATGAAAATTTGCTCATCGAGCTAGAAAACTTCAACGAATCGAATACTTCAAATCGCAGTCCTGATTCTTGAACCGTTCTGGAGTTATTGTCCGTTGAATTTGAAAGAAAGGTGTTTTTAATTCGGAAATGATATTGTCCTATATAATCGTTTCCCCATTCTAAACGGGTCGAGTATATCTCAATAAATTGCACACATTTATTAGTGTGCATAAATAAAAACTGAAGACAGGTTACCAACGCAACAATGTGAAAAAACTAATTTTACTAAAACGGCTCTAATTTAAAAAATCCGAAATCATCGTGACATATTTATTTTATATCATATAGGAGCAGTATTATTTATGAGCATACATTACACAGTACACTCAATACCTAAGCTAATGGTATTGGTAATATTTTTTTTTTTTAAATCTGGTTATTAATCAATTTGTTTATCCATAAGTGTTTTAAAACTTCTGTTTATTTATAAATTTGTTGAAGCGTTTTTTCTTTTGTAAATTAGTTGATTCATAAATTTGCTTATTTATAAATTTAGTTATTTATTTAATTTGGTTATAATTTTTGTATGTAATAGTTTTCGTGAATTTGTTTTTTTTTTATAAATTTATTTGTAAAAATGTTTATAAATTGGTTTATCTCTAAATTTGGTCACTTATGATTCGTTAATAAATCTGTTTCTGTATAAATTTATTTTTTAAGTTGTTTATTGCTTTGTTTATTTATATATTTTTTAATCAATTTGTTCATTAATAAATTTATTTATAAATTTGTTAACTGAATTTGTTTGTTTTTATATATATGTGTTTATGTATATTTTAGTTTGTTTATATATTAGTTATATATTCGTTTGTATATAAATTTGTTTGGGTATTAATTTGTTTATAAATTTGGTCACATAATTTTGTTTATTCATACATTTATATAAGTATTATTTATTTATTTATAATTTTGTTTGTTTATACATTTATGTCTTTTTTGTCTATTAAATTTCTCTTCAGTTTCATAATTTTCCGTATGAAATTAAGAAAAAAAATGAAAAACGCTCAAAAATTGTTGAAAATCAATAAAAAAATCGAAAAAAATATACATATATATTTCTCGCAATATAGAAGGTTGGCTTTGAAATGTGGTGAATTTTTTCCCCCTAGTTATTTATTTAATTTTGTTAATTTTTTGTATGTAACAATTTATTTATTTATTCGTTTATGCATAAATTTATCTTTATGTGTTTATAATTTTGTTTATCTATAAATTTGTCTATAAATTAAGTTGTTTAAAATTTGTTAATTTATAAAGTTGTTCCCTCATTAATTTGTTTACTCAGAAATTTGTTTATCTATAAATTTGTTCACTTATGATTTATTTATAAATATGTTACTGTTTAGCAAAATTTTAAAGTTATATATTTTTTGTGTATATTTTTTTTTATAAATTTGTTCATATATTCATTTGTTTAAATGTTGGGCATATATATTGTTATTTATTCAAACATTTGTTAATTTATATCTTTTTTATAGGTACATTTGGTTATACTTATATGAATGGTTTTAGAGTTTGTTTGTTCGTATTTCTCTTCAGTTTCAGTTTTTCAAATGATTTTTTTTTCGGAAATAGTTGAAAAATGGTCGAAAATGTTAAAAGTGCCAAAATCAATCTTATTTTATCAAATAGTAGCCCCGCCCACCCACCCTCTATTTCCTTAGAAGGTATGTGATTTGCCAAAATCAGTACTACTCCTTTAAGAAAATAAAGGGTGGTGTTAGTACTTGTCAAAATAAGACTGATTTTGGCAAATCACATACTCTCTAAGAAAATAAAGGGTGGGTGGACGGGGTTAGTGCTTGCTACGATAAAACTGATATTGTCAAATGACATATAGGTACCCTCTACCCTTTATTTTCTTACAAAAATTGAAAACACTGAAAATCGTTGAAAACTAGATTAAAAAAAAACATTTCTCGCACTATAAGGTGATTATAGAAAGTTGGCTTTGAAATATCGTGAATTCTTCCCCTCATTGAGATGACTGATGAGTGATGACTAAAGGCCAATTTCAGGTTGATTTAGCGACGTCGCAAAACTGCATTGCTTTGATGGGAAGATCATATTATTCGACCCTCCTCGCCCAATCCATTAAATTTTTGCGACATCATCATGTCGCAAGTGTCAAATATAAGTAATATAACCCAACTTTTTCAATGTTTGTCGCTTGATAGATAGGCAACCAACAATTTAGGTCCAATAATAGATTACTACTTAACTCATGGAAGCGACCAATTCTTAATAAAAATGCAGTGACAGTGACTCCCTATATGTTTATGACAATCCATAAATTTTGTTTTTTTTTTTTACTATTATTATTTTGAAAGTTAATAAAATTGTTACAGTTATCCGCAACAAAAAAAAATCCAAAATTATCAAGATTTCTTTCAAAATATTGCAAAAAAATTAGTTAAAGACTGTTAGAGCCTCTGGCGGGGACCTGTTTCACCCCTCCCCACCCGTAAGGGTGGGAGCCAGAGCCACCCCCACCTTGGAACACAGGGTAGCATTTATTCTTAATTCTTAACTCATTCATACACATTCAATTCACAATTCTCAATTCGTAACTAACATTCAACTATCTCGGCCGCACGGTCATATACCAATCTATTCTTATCATTCTTATTTATCATAACACTTGTCACTAGCAATATACATTTATCTTACTGTTCGCTGGTCTTATTCATTTATACAACTTCGACATGGTCCTTCGAGCCGGATTAGCGACAGAATAACAGTGGTAGTGATAAGTGTAATTCTCAACATATCATTCATCGGCTGGAATTCAGCAAAGTAGTTATCAAAACATCACCTAGAAATCATCCGCGCAGTGTTCAACTATCGGTGACGACCGCGAGTGCTGTGCAAAATCCTCAAGTATCATTCAGCGTCAGCCAAGATAATTCTATCCAGGAATCCAGGATTCCAGGTAAGCTTTAATTCTGTTTGGTTGGTGTAATACATTATTCTCGTACTCAAGATGGTGGTAATCCAAGACAATACTTTTGTTAAATTTTCAATTCTTCTCAGCGAAATAGATTCACATTCTAAATTTATATCAAATGTTGCAAATCATCAAAAAAGAGGCCACTTAAAGCGTCGATTTGAAGACGTACAGCGAATTTATTCAGAATTACAAATGCTTGTAGTTCAGCAAAAATCCGAAACAATGGTAGTCCCGAATGACACGAGTAACACGGAAACGATCAAACCTATAATTTATAATATCAGAGACGTGCTAAATTATATTCAAAAAATATCCGAATTATATAAAGCTCTCATTGAGAAAACTAATCCATTGTGTACTTTCTCGAATTCATGTAAGATAAACACTAACGTGCCAACCACGGATCTGGAAAAAGCTTGTCAAAACTTAAAGCCTCTAAAGGTACACAAATTAAGAAATGGAGAACCCATCAAAATTCACAAAACCCATTTCAATGCTCTACCTAAATTGCCGTTCACTATTAGTAAAAAATCCCCTCCTGATTCCGTTGTTTCAAGAACGCCCAGTCTAATATTGAATTGTTCAAAATTTCCAAATTCAACACCGAATGAAGATAAAAATCATCCTGTTAATGATTGTTACAAGCCCGAAGGCGTATCTCTAATTAATTCAGATAAAACGTCTAATGCAGAGTCATCTACCGCACTAGACAAAGTAAAAAGTACTGCAGTTAATTCGAAAAACTGTGGCCCAATGTTAGTCTGTAACCAATTTGAATGTAGATCGCAATATTTATGTAAATCCGTAGACTCGAATATTAAAGACAATACGTCAAACATAGCAATACTCGACAAGAAAAAACATTCCGAAAATGCCATACCCAAAATAATAAGTCATTTCAGTAAAAACCCACCGGTGCTTCAAAATACCGCGCTGGGGTTGATTCTTAGCGGCAGTTTTGCATATTTAAAAAATAATACTTCCCATCATCACAAAATTAGTTCAGCCCAAATTATTTCTCGGTTCTTGGAAGCTGAAACCGTCAAAACCGGAAGCAGGTCATTAAGCAAAGGGTTTAAAAGCGATCTTTGTGCAACCCCTTTTCAGTATACTACCACAGGCCATTCACCCGATGGCTATTTCATGGTCAAACACCCCTTTTCGGAAAATCAGCCGCGGTTAGAGAATTTTACACAAATGCATCCAAAGTGGCTATTATCAGTCGAGAGGAAGTTGGGGCATTCCACAGTCCCTTATTTCGAAAATCTACCTAAATTAGGAAATTCCCCAGAACTCGCTCTCCAACTGCTATTGTTAGCAGAGGGGCGTAATCATAAACGTAACGAGGGTTTTATTGTCTCTCAAAGGAAGTACCTAGACCTTGTACACCTGAACGTACTTAACGAAAATTCATTAAATAATTTCATTTACCTGCAACACAATTGTGTTTTAAATCTTCACATTTCTGCCACTAAACTCTGCGTAGTTGTTGGCCGTTTAAATCTTAGTTCAAAGAGTTTAAATATGAATAGCCGGAAGTATACCGAAATTACTGATAAAAGCCATCTTGAGGGCGAGGGCGTGTATGCGCTCATTGTCAGAGTTAAAGCCGTCCTGAATTCGCGCCTTTCGAATCCTCTGTCCAGCGACCGCAATAATTTGGTCGCATTTATACCTGGCCAATGCCTCTTTCGGCCAGCCATCAATAGGTCCCTCAGGAAACCACCACGCCGTCGTTCCCATCAACAGGCCATCCCTTGGCACCTCATCCACGCTTACCATCAACACTTCTGGAAGTCGTGGTACCTCGAATATTTGACCACACTGAAAGGCAGGTTAGGGTGGCAAAGGCCATCTTCCAACGTTCCAGGAATGGCAAGATGGGTCCTCGTGAAGGAGGAGAAATTTCCGCGTCTACAGTGGCGGTTAGGACGCGGCCCTCCAACATCATTTTGGAAAGGAAGTGGTGGTGTGCGTAGTGTCGGTGAAGTGCAAAAGATAATTTCGCAATCGCATGCATTATCATTCTATTTAACCATATTGCATACATCTTGTCAATTTGTTATATGCATCTCCTTGTTGGTTTATTGTATTATGTACATTAATTCATATTTATATTGTTATATCCATTCACCATATTATTCACTCATCATATTATTCATTGATTCGGCACGTTATAATTGTTGTAAATTTATTTATAGATATATTGTAAATAATGTGTATTCGCTGATATTGTACCAATGTAATTTGTTTTAGATATCTTTTTTTAAAGTTTAATGCATTTCTTCAGGTTCATTGCTTTCTGTAACAATGTCCACCCAATTCATGTAATTTAATCTGTATTTATCATTACTAAATAATGTTTTCATTCTAATATTCCATATATTTTATTTTTGGTCTTAAAACAATGTAATTGTTTCAAGGCGGGGGGTATGTTAGAGCCTCTGGCGGGGACCTGTTTCACCCCTCCCCACCCGTAAGGGTGGGAGCCAGAGCCACCCCCACCTTGGAACACAGGGTAGCATTTATTCTTAATTCTTAACTCATTCATACACATTCAATTCACAATTCTCAATTCGTAACTAACATTCAACTATCTCGGCCGCACGGTCATATACCAATCTATTCTTATCATTCTTATTTATCATAACACTTGTCACTAGCAATATACATTTATCTTACTGTTCGCTGGTCTTATTCATTTATACAACTTCGACAAAGACTGTAAATTACGATATTGAAGTTGAACCATAAGCTACTGTTTAAAAATGTCGAGAAGTTGAACATTTTATTTATTTTTTAACGTAGAGTACAACATAAATTTATTACCACTTTTTAGTTATTTTTGCTTGACAAATACGTTAGTAAACTTTCCACATTCAATTATCATACGTTTGTCATACGTTTGTGTACACCATTCTGACTGACATGGATTTTCCCCCAGCTGCAGTAGTCACCAATTTAAATATTGTTTTGTTAGATTTTTGCTGTGGTAAAACGCATCTATAATTTTATATACATAATAACCAAGGGAATTATAAAAACGTTTCAGGATATTTAGGGCAAAGTCTGACGTCCAGTCACCAGTCCATGGTCCAGTCATAAAAGATTTAAAAGAATTGCTTCAACTTCAAATTTGAAATTTCATGACCAAAAGTCAAAATAAAATAAAATAAATAAAAACAAAGAATGAAAATCATAATCAGCCTAACCTCAGTTTTTTTACATAAATAACTGAAGACATTTACCAACACAATGACGTGAAAAAACGAATTTCCCTAAAACTGGTCTAATTTAAAAAATCCAAAATCATCGTGACACAGATGCTTATCTTATATCCTACATTATTTACGAGCATACATTACACAGCACACTCAATACCTGCTACTTATTTAATGTTCAATAAATCCACTTAACCGATGAAACAACAGTTTTTCTATCCATCAGACCCGTTATCACACAAACCCATCAGAAATTACCCTGTTCATAAATAATGTAACGCTACCATCCATTCTTCAATCTGATGATTACTTCTCAGTACGTAACCCGACACGCTTCATTGTACACACTATCTCAAATGGTGAGCGTCAAAGAAATGAGCATAGTCACAACACCTCAAGAAACCCTCCTCAAAATCTACTCTTCTCTCCGTCCTATCTATGCAGTCTGCAAAGCCATCGGTCTCAACACAGTCAATATCACAGAAAACGGAAATCTGAAACCAGAGAAATGTTCCCTGTACTTGAATTTTGGTTTCTATGTCACTATGTACAGCCTTGTCACGATTTACACACTCTTCAGCATTCTTTCAACAAACAAAAGTTTTGTTATCGCCAATAAGTACATTTTCTTCACCGAGTGCTGCGTGATGACCACCCTCATGCTAGTAGTTGTGATTTTCACTTTCCTCTTCAGGAAGGTACAAACCAAAGCATTTGATTTGTTGTCACACATCGACGTCTGCTTCACCAAAAACGGGTTTTCGCTCCCCTACAAAGACCTCCAAAGAACCAACTACATAATTTTGAGCATGATTGGGGTTTCTTTGCTCCTGCGACTATCCCTCTTGTTGCTGACCATGCACGTGGATTTCATCCAACAAACTGCTTTACTGTTTTCAGCCACCATTAAGACGTTCTCAAAGTACCAGTTCGTGGTGTTTGTTCTACAGCTACAAGCACGTTTTACCAAAATCAACTCCATCATACGGTCTTTTTACAAAGACTCCAGGCTGACCAAGCTTGTGTTGAACCCGGCGGTTCGTTCCATTCCAGAACGGCTGTACACTTTGTGCCGCCTACACTATAAACTGGCAAGTGTTTTGCAGAAAATTAACGCCGCTTTTGCCGTCCAGCTGCTGGTGTCAATCGCGGTGTCGCTTTTTGACGTGCTTTTCCAATCGTACTATTTGTACTATGTTGCAACTGGTAAAGCTACTGTTGCGTCAGTGTTCATGGTAATGAACCCGCTGGTGTGGTTACTGGATGAAACCATCGAGGTTTATTGGTTGGTTTATGCGTGCTCAAGCACGTGTGACCAGGCGAATGAAACTCCCACTAATTTGCACGAGTTGAGGAATAATTATTTCGAGATGGATATTGAAACTCACGTGAGTATGGGCGGGAAGGTGGTCAAGTTAATTTTATTGCATGTTGTAGGTGCAAACTTACTCATTGCAAATGTTGCATCAGAAGGTTCAGTTTTCAGTTTTGGGTTTCTTTGTTGTGGATTATACGCTTATTTATTCGGTATGAGTCATGTTTATGTAGTGATTAATGTGGTTCATTGTTGGCGGTTTAAGATTGTCGGTGCTGTTACGACCTACTTGGTCATCTTCATTCAGTTCGATCAGTCGTCGAGCGTAGACAATAGTTCGGATGGTCTAAACAACAGCACTTTGGGGTTAACTGAAACCATCTGCGGCAACGAGTAGAAAATGCAACATTTTGAGAAGCGCTGATGATAATATTACTTAAAGTAGCGGTCATTTCTACGGAACCACTCGATAAAAAGTCAAGTTGGTAGCCCTGTCATCTAGTACTTTACGCCGAACGCGATTGGTAGCGGTAGTTGATATGGCAATCGAAACTAGGACAACACGAATGTTTCGGTTGCCCTCAAATATGCCGCACTGTATCCCGTGCAGACTGTATGTTCTGTTCATCTATTTATTAAAATAAAATATCCACATTGACAATGAGGCCATCTAACCTGTCAAATTTTTGACACATGTTTTCCCCCAGAAACCCGTCAAGGTCACTTACACCAAACAAATTTTGAAAATTTACACTAGGGAGTGGTTCTATAGAAAAGATCGCGACTTTATATGTGTATTAGTATATGCAATTTTACAATGTGTTTCAGAATTACATCGTCGCTCAAAGGATTACAAAGTATTAATTAGTCGTCTCAAGAAACGATTAAATAAATCTTTACTGAAAAGTATACCCTTAAGTACGATATTGCGTGTGTTTCAGTAATAAACATAAGTAACAAAATTCACTGACCCGTTGAATTGTTATGTGAAGTTTTATTACTTTATAAGTATTTTTTTTTAATTATGGGGTATGCAAAGTACTCTTAATTATTCAGTTAAAAGAAACAAGGACAACAAAAAAGTTGAAATACTTATACAGTAAGCTGTTTTGAGAATTTTAATTAAGAAATTAGTGTAAGGTTATTTAGAATTCACCTCGCCCTGGAGTACAGTACATTTCCATTCAAAAAATGATAAAATTTTATTTTGCGAATTTAATTTTTCTTCAGTCATTAATACATAGTCACCCGGTACTACTAATAATAATTCATAAAAGTACTGTATTCTCAAATTTTCTGGAAAATGAGATGAGGCGTTATAGTTTTGATCAATAAAATAAACTGCCTCATGCAGTAATCATTATTTTTTCAGTCACCCTGTATAAGCCGTTATAAAAATATGAAGGCAAGTATAGACTCACAATATTTTGCATAATCTTGATTTTTTTCCAAAAATCTGAATGTTTAAGGTAAAAAATTGTCTGTTTCATATTTTACAATCAATTTTTTTATATATTGGTTTCTTAATAAATTTATATATTAATTTGTCTATTTATACACTTGTTCACTCATAAAATTCTTCAAAAATTTTTTTATTTATAAATCTGTTTATTAATAAATTTGTTGAAACATTTTTTCTTTTATAAATTTGCTTATTTAAGAATTTAGTTATTTATTTAATTTTGTTAATTTTTTGTATGTAACAATTTATTTATTGATTTGTATATTTATAAATTTATTTAAAAAAGTGCCTATAAATTTGTCTATAAATTAAGTTGTTTAAAATTTGTTAATTTATAAATTTGTTCCCTCGTTAATTTGTGTATTCAGAAATTTGTTTATCTATAAATTTGTTCACTTAGAATTTGTTTATAAATCTGTTTCTGTATACCAAAATTTATTTTTAAAGTGATATATTCTTTGTTTATATATTTCATTATCATTTGTTTAAATATTGGGGAATAAATAAAGCTTATTAAACATTTTTTGGGTATTTATTTGTTTATAAATTTGGTCACTTATGTTGTTATTTATTCAAATATTTGTTAATTTATATTTTTTTATAGGTACATTTGTTTATATTTATATGAATTGGATTAAAGAAACTGAAAAACTGTTCAATACATAGTTTATGTTTGTTCGGATTTCTCTTCAGTTTCACAATTTTTCAAATGATTTTTTTTCGGAAGTAGTTGAAAAATGGTCGACACGTTAAAAGTGCCAAAATCAGTCTTATCTTATCAAATACTAGCCCCGCCCACCCACCCTCTATTTTCTCAGAATGTATGTCATTTGCCAAAACCAGTCTTATCTTGGCAAATACTACTCCTCTAAGAAAATAAAGGGCGGGCGGGCGGGGCTAGTACTTGTCAAAATAAGACTGATTTTGGCAAATGACCTAATATCTAGGAAAATAAAGGGCGGGTGGGCGGAGCTAGTACTTGCTAATATAAAACTGCCATGATAATACTGATTTTGCCAAATGATATACCCCCTACCCTTTATTTTCTTGGAAAAAATTGAAAACAGTTAAAATCGTTGTAAACCAGATTTAAAAAAAATATTTCTTGCAATATAAGATGATTATAAAAGGTTGGCTTTGAAATATCGTGAATTTTTCCCTTCCTTGAGAGAAATGATGATTAAACGCCAATTTCAAGTTGATTTAGCGATATCGCAAAACTGCGTTGCTATGGTGGGAATATTATATTATATTTATTTAATATTGTTAATTTTTTGTATGTAACAATTTTTTTATTGATTTGTTGATTTATAAATTTGTTTATCTATAGATTTGTCTATAAATTAAGTTGTTTAAAATTTGTTAATTTATAAATTTATTTACTCAGAAATTTGTTTATCTATAAATTAGTTCACTTATGATTTGTTTATAAATTGTTTCTGTACACGAAAATTTATTTTTAAAGTTATATATTTTTTGTTTATATATTTTTTTTATAAATTTGTTTTTATATTAATTTGTTTATATATTTTTTATATATTCATTTGTTTAAATGTTGTACAATAAATAAAGCTTATTAAACATTTTTTGGGTATTTATATCTTTTTTATAGGTATTTGTTTGTACTTGAATGAATGTGTTTATTGGATTAAAAAATCTGGGACAGTTTATGTTTGTTCGGATTTCTCTTCAGTTTCACGGTTTAAAAAAAAAAATCGGAAATATGTAGTTGAAAAATGGTCGAAAATGTTAAAAGTGCCAAAATCAGTTTTATCTTATCAAATACTAGCCCCGCCCACCCACCCTCTATTTTCTTAGAGGGTATGTCATTTGCCAAAATTAGTCTTATCATAGCAAGTACTACTTCTCTAAAAGAAAATAAAGGCCTGGCGGGCGGGGCTAGTACTTGTCAAAATAAGACTGATTTTGGCAAATCACCTACTCTCTAAGAAAATAAAGGGCGAGTGGGCGGGGCTAGTACTTGCTAATATAAAACTGCCATTATAATACTGATTTTGCCAAATGATATACCCCCTACCCTTTATTTTCTTGGAAAAAATTGAAAACACTTAAAATCATTGAAAACCAGATTTAAAAAAAAATATTTCTAGCAATATTAGATGATTATAAAAGGTTGGCTTTAAAATATCGTGAATTTTTCCCCTCCTTGAGATAAATGATGACTAAAGGCCAATTTCATGTTGATTTAGCGACGTCGCAAAACTGCGTTGCTATGGTGGGAATATTATATTATATTTATTTAATTTTGTTATTTTTTTGTTTGTAACAATTTATTTATTGATTTGTTTATCTATAAATTTGTCTATAAATTAAATTGTTTAAAATTTGTTAGTTTATCAATTTGTTTATCTATAAATTTGTTAACTTATGATTTGTTTATAAATTGTTTCTGTACACGAAAATTTATTTTTAAAGTTATATATTTTTTGTTTATATATTTTTTTTTATAAATTTGTTTTTATATTAATTTGTTTATATATGTTTTATATATTCATTTGTTTAAATGTTGGGCAATAAATAAAGCTTATTAAACAGTTTTTGGGTATTAATTTGTTTATAAATTTGGTGACTTATATTGTTGTTTATTCAAACATTTGATAATTATATCTTTTTTATAGGTAGGTACATACATACTTATATGATGAATGTGTGTATTGGATTAAAGAAACTGGAACAGTTTATGTTTGTTCGGATTTCTCTTCAGTTTCACAGTTTAAAAAAAATATTTCGGAAATAGTTGAAAAAGGTCGAAAATGTTAAAAGTGCCAAAATCAGTCTTTTCTTATCAAATACTAGCCCCGCCCGCCCACCCTCTATTTTCTTAGAAGGTATGTCATTTGCCAAAATCAGTACTACTCCTCTAAGAAAATAAAGGGTGGTGCTAGTACTTGTCAAAATAAGACTGATTTTGGCAAATCACATACTCTCTAAGAAAATAAAGGGCGGGTGGGCGGGGCTAGTGCTTGCTAAGATAAAACTGATATTGTCAAATGGTATACCCTCGAAGAAAATAAAGAGTGGGTGGGCGGGGCCAACACTTGCCATGATAATACTGATTTTGTTAAATGAGATACCCTCTGCCCTTTATTTTCTTAGAAAAAATTGAAAACACTTAAAATCATTGAAAACCAGATTTAAAAAAAACTATTTCTCACAATATAAGGTGATTATAAAAGGTTGACTTTGAAATATCGTGTATCTTTCCCCTCGTTGAGATGACTGATGACTGAAGGACCAATTTCAAGCTGATTTAGCGACGTCGCAAACTGTGTTGCTATGGTGGGAATATTGTATTATATTATTATGTCGAATATTATTATTATTCGACCCTCCTCGCCTAGTCCGTTAGATTTTTGCGACATCATCACAACAACGCAGTTCGTCGTCGCAACTATCAATTATAACCCAACTTTTTCACTGTTTGTCGTCTGATAGATAGGCAACCAACAATTTAGGTCCAATGTTAGATTACTATCTAGCTCATGGAAGCGACCAATTCTTAATAAAAATAAATAAAGTTTGATTTTTTTATTATTATTTTGAAAGTTAATAAAATTGTTACGGTTATCAGCAACAAACAAAATTTCCAAAATTATCAAGATTTCTTTCAAAATGTTGCAAAAAAAATGTACATTACGACTTTAAATCTGTTTATTAATGAATTTGTTCTTTCAGAAATTTGTTTATTTATACATTTTTTGAAGCGTCTGTTTATTTATAAATTTGTTGAACCTTTTTTTGTCTTATAAATTTGATTATTTAAGAATTGTTAATTTTTTGTATATAGCAATTTATTTATTGATTTGTTTATTTTATAAATTTATTTTTGAAAGTGTTTATAAATTTGTTTATCTACAAATTTGTCTATAAATTAAGTTGTTTAAAATTTGTTAACTTATAAATTTGTTTATCTATAAATTTGTTCACTTATGATTTGTTTATAAATCTGTTTCCAAAATTTATTTTTAAAGTTATATATTTTCTGGTATAATTTTTTTATAAATTTGTTTATACATCTATTAGTTTGTTTATATATTCATTTATTTAAATGTTGGGCATTAAATAAAGCTAATTAAACATATTTTGGGTATTAATTTGTTTATAAATTTCGTCACTTATATTGTTATTTATTCAAACATTTGTTAATTTATATCTTTTCTATATGTACATTTGTTTATACTCATATGAATGTGTTTGGATTTAAAAGACTGGAAGACTCTTCAATACACAGTTTATGTTTGTTCGGATTTCTCTTCAGTTTCAGTTTTTCAAATGAATTTTTTTTTCAGAAATCGTTGAAAAAAGGTCGAAAATGTTAAAAGTCCCAAAATCAATATTATCGTATCAAATACTAACCCCGCCCACCCGCCCGCTATTTTCTTAGAGGGTATGGCATCTGCCAAAATCAGTCTTATCTTAGCAAGTACTAGTCGGCGGGGCTAATACTTGTCAAAATAAGACTGATTTTGGCAAATGACCTACTCTCTAAGAAAATAGAGGATGGGTGGGCGGGGCTAGTACTTACTAAGATAAAACTGGTATACCCTCGAAGAAAATATAGGGTGGGTGGGAGGTACCAACACTTGCCATGATAAGACTGATTTTGCCAAATGATATACCCTCTACTCTTTATGTTCTTAGAAAAAATTGAACACACTTAAAATCGTTGAAAACAAGATTAAAAAAAATATATTTGTCGCAATATAAGGTGATTATAAAAGGTTGGCTTTGAAATGCCATGAATTTTTCCCTTCGTTGAAATGACTGATAACTAAAGGGCCAATTTCAAGTTGATTTAGCGACGTTGCAAAACTGCGTTGCTATGGTGGGAATATTATATTTATTATTCGACCCTCCTCGTCAATCTATTAGATTTTTGCATCATCATCATCATAACAACGCAGTTCGTCGTCGCAATTATCAATTATAACCCAACTTTTTCACTGTTTGTCGTCTGATAGATAGGCAACCAACAATTTAGGTCCAATGTTAGATTACTATCTACTCATGGAAGCGACCAATTCTTAATAAAATGCAGTAACAGTGACCCCCTATAAGTAAATGACAATGAATAAATTTTGATTTTTTTATTATTTTTTTAGAGTTAATAAAATTGTTACGGTTATGAGCAACAAACAAAATTTCCAAAATTATCAAGATCTCTTTTAAAATACTGCAAAAAAATTTTCAAAACCGTACGTTACGACTTTAAATCTGTTTATTAATGAATCTGTTTATCCATACATTTTTTGAAACTTGTGTTTATTTATAAATTTGTTGAAACAATTTTTCTTTTATAAATTTGCTTATTTAAGAATTTAGTTATTTATTTAATTTTGTTAATTTTTTGTATGTAACAATTTATTTATTGATTTGTTTATTTATAAATTTGTTTATCTATAAATTAAGTTGTTTAAAATTTGTTAATTTATAAATTTGTTTTCTCAGAAATTTGTTTATCTATAAATTTGTTCACTAATGACTTATTTATAAATCTGTTTCTGTATTCCAAAATTTATTTTTAAAGTTATATATTTTTTTATTTATATATTTTTGTTTATATGTATATGTATGTATATATGGTGGGAATATTATATATGTATATTATTCGACCCTCCTCGCCCACTATTAGATTTTTCAGCAACAAACAAAATTTCCAAAATTATCAAGATTTCTTTCAAAATATTGCAAAAAAAATAGTTAAAGACCGTACATTACAACTCATGAGCTACTGTTTTAAATTTTATTTATTTTTTAGTTACTGCGAAAAAAACCAACGAGCGGTTTTTTACGTAAAGTACAACATAAATTTATTACCACTTTTTAGTTATGTTTGCTTGAAAAATACGTTGGTAAACTTTCCACATTCCATTACCATACGTCTGTGTACGCCATTCAGACTGAATTGGATTTCCCCCCAGTTACACTGGTCAGCAATTTAAATATTGTTTTATTTGTTTTTCGCTGTAGTAAAACGCATCTACAATTTTTATGAACATAATTTATAACCAACGTAGTTATAAATACGTTTCAAGATATTTAGGGTAAAGTCTGACATCCAGTCATAAAAGATTTAAGAGGATTTTGACATGAGGTCATCAAATTTTTGGAAATGTGAATGGATAAATTTTGGTTACGATTTTGTCATCTTCATGATAATCATAAAGCACTTGAGCTTTACAATAAATCAGTTCGACAACGTAACAAACCATCACTGATAAATTCCTTATATAGACACAGTCCGACGGAAATGGGATAAATATACCTGCACATATTGCCGTATTTTTCAACGAAAATTTTAACTCTTACTTCCTCAATTTCTCACGTAATATAAACACCTGGTATTGTTACTCATGAAAATGGATGTTATAAATCATATTGTTTACATACTAATACAAATTTTGCACTTCTTCCAGAATTTATGAAGTGCAGTTAAACTCAAGGCCAACTCAAGAAATGATAAGTCAAACAAAAATATTCACCACTTTGATTTTAAACCAGTATTTGTGATAATGCATCAGTCGTAAAACCTTGTCCCAACTTCTAAAACAATTTGACCCGTGAATTTTAAATTACAATTCCCCGTATGCTAGCGCGATTCTGGAAAGCTACCGTTACCAGGTTGGCCACCATGAACTTTGCATTATCATCCCATCAATATTCAAATGCCACTTTCCGTATCTCCCCATTTCCCATATACAATCCTTGGAATCGCAAATAAAACAAGTTATTTATCAATATCATCATTTATTGATTATCTGATAAATATGTATAACACAATAATCAAATAAACTCGCTAATCACAAGACCCAATGTCACACCTCCAAATCTCAACGGCATGAACAATTATGCGCAAATTATAGTAATAATCACACAATTATTGTAAATTAACGCTAATTCACATGCGGCACTCCGCCGCAGCAGCAACCTTTCGGGCTGCAAACAACACATTTCATTAAATCTCATTAGTGCTCAATCACTTCAAGTCCAATAAAAACTTCATCTAGGCAACTCTACAATGGGTCTCGGAAACTCCTCTAGCGTACATTCATAGAAATCCGCTAACTCCTGCTCCGAGGGCGACAGCGGCGGCTCCGGTTTTCCTTCTACATTCACATCCTTAACGATAATGGCGCAAGGACAGTCCACTTTCGACCCCAGACCGCAATATTCCGCCAATTTCTCGCTGCTGTCCACCTGAAACAAGACATTTAAAGGTCAACGTTGTACTCGCAAGCGGCACGAGGTCGACGTGCGATCGATCGCAAAAGCGCAATTACATTATCCAGAAAACGAGACCGGGTTTTGTTCGACGACCTTCAGGTCCGAGGGTGTAATGTAATTGCGCCTTAAGCAGAGTTCTTTGAACTAAATTAATCGATATTTACCTGGATCACAGGAATGTAGTTCTCGTAGCAGAAGGCCTGAAGCAGGACCGTCTGCATGTGGGTAGCGGCGTCCCCGGGTCTGGTCAAGGGGAGCACGCACAGAAGAACGTCGTCGGAAGCTTTTTCCAGACGGGCGATGGCAGGGAGAAGACCGCAGACCAGCCGACGTTCGGCTTTGGCCTGGGTTAGGACGCCCTGAAGCGCATTGCCAAGTTTACTTCTGCAACAACAAAATTCGTTAGAATCGGGTCAACTTACAACCGGACAAGACCGAACTTGTTTGAACTGAAATTTACCTGTTGATCATTTTGCACTTGTCGCTGTTCTTGAACTTTAAGATGCACATGTTGATGTCGGTGTTGTGTTTGTGGCGTATGTTGAACTTCACTTTCGCTGTAAGCGCAATGTAATCCCAATGGCACAATCACAAATCACTTTACAAAATATTGTGTAATAGCACTAGCCACTCTCTGTCCTCAATTCGTACCTCACTCCTCGTCGTTTAGTCGCACAGTGACGTAAACCACGTTGCGGACGCTTTTATACGCAGCTGCAGGAATGCGGAGTGGGGCGACAACAGACCGAGAAGAGCGATTCGAGGAATGCCCCGGTCGAACATTTTATTACTCATACGAAAAGTACGTGTGATTTCTCTGGGTTATGAAAGACGCGGGGTATTCCAACGGGTTTTATCCTGTTGGCGTTCCGGCGGGGATCTGGGAAGGATCTGTCTACCAGGAAGTCGGCGGAACGGGTAAATTCGGGGAACGCTCCCGGTTACCTGTCGGAATCCGTTTTAGCAGGAATCCGCAAGTTTGGACTTGTGGAAGTGGGGCTTATCTGCGTTACGCGCAACGGTTAATTGGTATCGAAACTAAGTAACAAAACAGATAGTGCTTTATTACTATGAAATGTTTGTGACATTGCATGTGTCGGATTACTTTTGATTAGGTTTTAAACGTAGTGCGTCTATTATGACGTCCGATTTTTTATTTGTTTACTGAATTCGGAGAAGATTGAGAGCCCAGACTGTAACGATCTAAATTCCGCGCATTGTTTTTGTCGGTTGGTGTACGTTGTTTTTGAATTTTGACACAATTAGCGAAAACAAAGTGTTTATCGGGGGCTGTGAAATTTTAGACAAATAATGCAATTAAGTTTTTTTCTCAGGCGATAAGCACTTGGATCAATGCTCTTTTTAAGCCAGTTTTCTTATTAAAACTGGTCCAGGACTCAGATTTTTTGTGTCGAGGTATTAAATTGTAAAGTATTGGTATACATTTTTTTTGAAATGTATAACCAGGAGATGAATATAAAATTCTGGATGATATATAGTTCATTAATTTAAATTTTTATTAGACCAATAAATCATGTGGGTTCGTTAATTTATTAGTTTAAAAACACAAAAAGTATATTCGGTAAAGTAAAATTCTACTACTATTGTTAATGAAAGACAGTCAATATCATAATCATAACTCATACAGAATTATTGCCCAACATTATGACTCTTTAAAGTCACTTTTCCACTACGTTGCATTAATTATGTGAAATTCGCCTTCATTTTAAGCCACTTTTGTTCGTCGTAAGGAAAATCAACTCTTGAGAAACGACAGGGGTAACAACACCGCGAAACGCCAGCGAATTTTGCATGTCTAAACGAACCTTTAACATTTTAAAACGCAGAGGGTGGTTCCAATAACAGACATCCATTCCAATAACCTTGAGGTCAATAAATAAGCCATATCGATCTACATTTCCAAAATAAAAATATTTACGTTAACTGTGACCGAAAACCCATTTCGCTGGGAAAACACCTCGCTTGTTAACGCATGTTTAATGTAATCACGTAATGTGAACGACCTCGACCCTCGTTTCAGGGAAATACCCGCCTACAATGAAAATGGAACTCGCCCGATCTTGTTTAATCTTGTCGGCGGATCTCAACTGCGCCTAGTGCAGTCTTTCACCGCAAAACGGAACCCCAATAAATCCGCTTGTCTCCTAATCTGCGGTTGATAAATTTAAATGTTTAAAAATAAAAACCACAAGTGCTGATTATCAACAACAATATAAACTTAAATTTTTACCAAAATGTGGCCAAATTTTTGGTTCTTTTTAATTTTTCCTATTTCAACAAAAGGACAAAGTTGCCACTTTTGTAAATGTTGGAATTGTCGAAGACGAAGCTGAAAAAACTTCTATAAGTCGAAATCTACAAGAACTTTGGTAATTTTCGAAAAGTGCCCGAAAAACGGTAAAAAAATTCATCATTGAAAAATTGAACTTTTTTCCAAAGTTGCCTGAAAATCGTCAAAAAAAAAACACGAAATACATTCCGAGGAACTGATTCGAAGAATATGACGTGTTGCTCGTCCCTGACCACGGTTTATATCGTAAAAAATGCCATTTTTTTTTATTTAGAAGGTATGCCATTTGCCAAAATCGGTCTTATTTAATCACCCGCCCTCTATTTTCTCAGAGGCTATTTAATTTGCCAAATCAGTCTTATCGTATCAAATACTAGCCCCGCCCACCCACCCTCTATCTTCGTAGAAGGTGGCATTTGCCAAAATCAGTCTTATCTTATCAAATACTAGACCCGCCCACCCACCCTCTATTTTCTTAGAGGCCATGTGAATTGCCAAATCAGTCTTATCTTATCAAATACTAGCCCCGCCCACCCACCCTCTATTCTCTTAGAGGGTATGTTATTTCCCAAAATCAGTCTCATCAAATACTAGCCCCACCCACCCACCCACCCTCTATTTTCTTAGCGACTATGTGATTTGCCAAATCAATCTTATCTTATCAATTGATTGATCAAGATTTTCAAAAAATTTGGTTGGAATTTTTGAGAAAATTAACCCGAAAGCTTACAAATCTAAATTAACCAGAAAATATCCTTACATAATTTTCGACGAGTTTCCTGGACTTCTAAATTTTAAAAAATCTAATCCGGACCTAATTTTCAAAAGTAAAAAAAACTTGGAACGATTGAATTTAAAACGATTTTAAAATCTATGGTGACCTGAAAAGTAAAAAGAAAAAAAAATGCATAATTTCCATAAATTTTTGTTATTAACCGAGCTTTTTGAAAAATTTGTTTTTTTATTCATCAAACATTGGTATTTTTTATTTTATCCATTCTGGGAAAATTGTTGGAATTTTTGAAAGAATGAACCCAAAAACAATGTTTACAAGTATTTGATAAGATGAAACTGACTTTGGCAAATGACATTCCTTCCAAGAAAATCGAGGGCGGGTGGGCGGGGCTAGTTTTTGATAAGATAAGACTGATTTTGGCACTTTTAACATTTTCTAGTAGATTCTGGATATCACGACCAATTGAAAAAATTGAACTTGAACAATTTTAAAATCTATGGTAGCCTGAAAAAATAAAAAAAGAAAAAAATGCATAATTTCTACAAACGTTAGTTATTAACTGAGACATTTGAAAAATTAGTTTTTTTTTAATGTTTCAAAAATTGGCACTTTTTAATTTTATCAATTCTGGGAAAATTCTTGGAATTTTTGAAAGAATCAAGTCAAAAACAACGTTTACAAGTACTTGATAAGACAAGACTGATTTTGGCAAATGACATACCTTCCAAGAAAATCGAGGGTGGGTGGGCGGGGCTAGTATTTGATAAGATAAGACTGATTTTGGCACTTTTAACATTCTCTTGTAGATTTTGGATATCAAGACGTCATTTTCGGTTTCGTTTCTTCGGAAATTCCTGCCGTTTTTCCAAAATCGCTAATTGAAATATAGCAATTTTTGACAGTTTCGTCAAAAAAATCATTCATTTTGAAAAGTGGCCACAAATCCTCAAACATTTTGGGAAATGCATTTCCACAACGTGATTTGAAAAACATAACTTGTTGATCGACCCTGATCAAGATTTTAAAAAAATTTGGTTTAAAATGTTTTTTTTTAAATATCGCAAAAATTATCATTTTTTTTTTACATACTTTCTGAGAAAATTGTTGCAATTTTTGAAACAATACACCTGAAAATAACTTACTTACAAATCGAAATTAACAAGAAAAGTTCTTTCTTTAGATAATTGCTCAAAAAAATGTAAATAAAATTCAGAAAAAAATTGCCTAAAAATGCCCGAAAAGTTCTGGAAAATACATTTCGTCGAACTGATTCGGAAAATACGTGTTGGTGGTCGTTGGCCAAGGTTTTCGGAAAATTTCGTTTGATTTTTTTTAATATATCGAAATTTGAATTTGAACTTATACACAGACCACTATCATCAGTGTCTGCAACATATGAAAAAAATCACCAGTAAAAGTCTTTTCTTGTTTTATCTGCAACTTTTACATTATCGATGACAGAGTTACGTTGGCATTTCAAGCAAAATTTGCTGTACAAAATTTGGAGAAGATGAGTGGACAAATTTTTCAATGAATGAAACACACCCAAGCTTTATGTAAGGTTATCACTCAGATAACGGACGATCGGCAGATGACAAACGTAAACGGGAAAGCTGCCCTTTCATACTCTGCAGTCACATTCTAGAAGAAGAAATATTTACACAAATGGGAAAACATTGCGTAAAGTTGCGAATTTGTATCCATTACTTGCAAAAGTGTAAATCATTTTTAATTAAAGTCTAAAATAAACTAACACCACAATGATAAATGTTCCAATAACATTTTAGCACATGACAGAAATATCGTGCACTCATTTGCATATATACAGCTTCCGCGAGTCAGTGCTAACAACCTCTCTTTTAATTCGTGTCCGATCTTTCAACCTCACCTTCCGTAATTCGGTGGTCTGATCAAGATCAAATCATATTTTGATAAAACTGAGGTCTGCTGTGGCGAATAAACACTGCAATAAATTTTGTTTGTCTGACTCATCGTTCGATCTCCTTTTATGGAGGCGTATTTGAACTACTTTATCGTCCAGGATTTTGTGGAAGTCGCAGATCAGATTGGGGAAATTTTATCGTCTCATTCATAATACGCACAAAAAATCAATCTCTCAATCGTAGTAAGTCTTATCTGGCCGCTATCAAAGTTCGATGAAACCTGGATTAACCTGTTTTTGGACTTTCGACAAACATGTTGTTGCTACCGATTTTGTTGCTAATAAACTTCTTAAACTTTGCTGTTTTGTACTTTAGATTGGTATTTACAAACAAAACGGTTCATTTGAATTCTAGATTCGTTTAACTTTGCACTGTGGAAATTTCGAAGGTCGTCTAAAAGTACGGTGCAGTCCAATTTCCCCCACGTCGCCGTCGTTGGAATAACGAACCGTTTTAACACTGAATACTCGTAATCCGGATTTCTACGTACACGTAAAGAGAGACGTTTGGGTTCTGGTTTATTTCAAAATAACCGGAATTCAACAATATTGTAGCAATTTTGTTTGTGTATTTAAAAAATAAGTATATATATATACAGAGTTTATCGATTTTTACGTTGCGCATTATCACTATATATGTTTCACCGTCAATCTACAAAAACGCCGACATCATGAAGATTAATAACGATGGAGCGATGATAAAGCTGA